TCGTCGATGTAAATTCTCGCAACTTTATTTGTTGTTTTATAAAATAACGACGGTAGCGACCTTCGACGACATAATAATTCGTAATATAAGTGAAGAAAAAACTGTAAATTGTTATTTTTATACTCATTTTAATAATTCAATCTTACACAACATCAGGGAATTGCGTGATTTATAACCTAAAGGAGTCATTATATCATGACTCCATATATGGTATGTTCACATTACAACTTGAGTTACCTTGTGACATTATTTGACATACTTTCATGAATTAATCGAGAAATAATTATATCGGAATGAATGAAACAAGCCGTAACACATAGCCATAATTATAATACCTAAGTAGATATGATACCGAACGTATGATTTTCAATATTACTAAATATAAAATCGGAAACTGCATTTTCTCGAATGTTCCCAAGGAATGTTCAGGCATTTATGACTCTTCGAATACGTATTATGTATATATGTTACATATAATCAAGTAAACGTTATTTTGCTATTAATATCAATATAGTTGTCATAAATTGACACATGATTCGAGATAAAATTAACGTAAATGATCATTACAACTTGGGAAATAAATCACTCGCCCGTATCTGTCGGATGGTTTTATCGGCTCATTCCGATGTAACTTTTTCTCGATTAATTCATGAAAGTATGCCAAATGATGTCACAAGGTAACCAAAGTTGTAATGTAAACGTAATATGTGTCGTGAGCCAAATGTTATTAGTCAAATAATATTATTTTATAATAATTATAAAAGCATTTTATTATTATATTTTGTTTTACAATCAAAATATCAAACGACCTGAACGAAAAGTTCTGTGTGTGTGTGTGTGTGTGTGTGTGTGTGTGTGTGTGTGTGTGTGTGTGTGTGTGTGTGTGTGTGTGTGTGTGTGTGTGTGTGTGTGTGTGTGTGTGTGTGTGTGTGTGTGTGTGTGTGTGTGTGTGTGTGTGTGTGTGTGTGTGTGTGTGTGTGTGTGTGTGTGTGTGTGTGTGTGTGTGTGTGTGTGTGTGTGTGTGTGTGTGTGTGTGTGTGTGTGTGTGTGTGTGTGTGTGTGTGTGTGTGTGTGTGTGTGTGTGTGTGTGTGTGTGTGTGTGTGTGTGTGTGTGTGTGTGTGTGTGTGTGTGTGTGTGTGTGTGTGTGTGTGTGTGTGTGTGTGTGTGTGTGTGTGTGTGTGTGTGTGTTGTGTGTGTGTGTGTGTGTGTGTGTGTGTGTGTGTGTGTGTGTGTGTGTGTGTGTGTGTGTGTGTGTGTGTGTGTGTGTGTGTGTGTGTGTGTGTGTGTGGTGTGTGTGTGTGTGTGTGTGTGTGTGTGTGTGTGTGTGTGTGTGTGTGTGTGTGTGTGTGTGTGTGTGTGTGTGTGTGTGTGTGTGTGTGTGTGTGTGTGTGTGTGTGTGTGTGTGTGTGTGTGTGTGTGTGTGTGTGTGTGTGTGTGTGTGTGTGTGTGTGTGTGTGTGTGTGTGTGTGTGTGTGTGTGTGTGTGTGTGTGTGTGTGTGTGTGTGTGTGTGTGTGTGTGTGTGTGTGTGTGTGTGTGTGTGTGTGTGTTCCACAATAATTCCACAAGAAAAAGAGAAATCTTACTGCATGATTAATAGAAATTATATTTGTATTATTTTTAAATTTAATTGTTTTCTTCATTTATATAACAGATTTTATATAATAGATATATCTTTGAATAGTTTAATATAGTTTAATATTTCGAATATAAAAGCGCTTATAATATACTATATAATATACAGAATGTTTAATAATTCGCGCCTATTACTCACAACAGTGCTATTTCTTATGAAGATTTTTTATAATTTTCCCTTAGGACAAACGTCAAGCAATTCTTACTTATAACGACTTTTCAATTTTCAGTATAACATATCTTCCAGCCTAAACCTCAGATTTAACTTCTGTTGAAATAAAGTTCATTTGCAATTGATCGAAAAAAATAATTTTATTATCTATTCGGTTACCTGAAATTCAGTTCACGAAAAGTCACACTTTCTCGTCCACTTGCGTTTCGGAAATGATCGACGTCTCGATATTTTTACTAAAAAAAAAAAAAAAAATCTTAAATTTTTATAAAAATGAATGTTATGTAAATAATGAATGCGAATTGCCGGACATTCTAGATATTTTAATAATATTAAATGTTTCTTCGCTTATTTTGAAGCACAAACGAGACTACCAAAATGTATCGTAGAATGCTCGGTCTACTGCGGATTAACCGTTTCGTGTGGTATTTTCATCGACGTGACCAGCCTCGATCGACCGGACTGACCCGCGTAAACCGGGCTCAAATCCGAAACGAGTCACGACGAGAAGGAGGCTCTGTGGTTATCGTGTCAAGAATGGTGCTTGCGTGCTCCTAATCGCGAGTTGCATTAGTTATAGAGCCGTTTGTTCGCGGCAGGAGTTCGCGGTCATTAGTAGTGACCGCTGGACGGTCCTATCGATTTTTCCGCTCCCGTCCCCCTTATGGTGTTCGAATAGAATCTTTAACGATCTTCGAACTTCCGTTTATTCGAAATATCCGTAACGTCAATTAAAAATTCATCTTTATTTCACTTTACTGTGTCGTTGCTGCCGTGATATGAAAGAACAATAAAAGAATGATCATCTTATCCTTCCAAGTCTGATCCATTGACGATATCAGATCGATATCTCATACTCTGGACATTCTTTGCATTTTATGATTTGTATCGTCCCTCCTCCGCAACTTCGAAGATTGCGACAAAAACATTTGATTTTGATTGCACCGGCGTATTATTTTGATTCCGCGTCGCTATGTGCGAGCTATTCATGATAAGGATTAGTTCAAGGTAACGACTGAGGTTTTCTCGTTGTAACAAGAAACATATGCGCACGAATAAAGTTCCCGTAGTAAAGATCAATTCTTCACGATTGAAGAAAATAATTGTAATTTTAAATTAATTATATTTGTACACAAGTTATTTTACTTTGACTGAAGCTCTCTTTATATATTTCTTAACATTTTAAATCACGTCACTAAATACGTTAAAAAATGTGTTAAATTACAATTATAATTTTTTTTACAATCTTCTAATTTTTTATAATTTATAATTATAACTTAACACTTTTTTCCTGAATTTGTTAAAGGACATGATTTAAAACAGTAAGGAATATATAAAACCAACTTCACGCTTCACGTGAAATTACACGCTTCAATTTGCGTTATATCGAGCGTTACGTATGTCTTTTTAATCCTCAACCCGAAATAATGATGTAATATTAATATAAAAAAAAAACACGGAATGTAGATTTGAAAACATTGATATATTTAACGTTCGTCCAAAATAAAGCCTCAGGAATGCATCTTCGAGATCCTGTCGTACGCAGAGGAGCATAAAATATCAGTTACAGCATATGATAATTGATTGATAAGAACGTATTCCACCGATTACCTGTATTATATAAATTGTTATATAGCTATTAGTCTAGACTGTTCTTCTTTTATTGTACAATCATATCTTTTGCATGCAATCAACGTAATTGCGTCAACTGAATCGATGAACTCGTGATTCGCTGCTATGCAGTTAATGACATGCGATGACTATCAATTTTACAAGCGCCGGCAGCTTCGTATAGCAGCGATAAAATTTTTGAAGAATTTTTTTGCATATTATGACGACGCAAGATATGTACCCGTAATATCAAATACTTGCGAGCTGAAATCTCAGATCGAGTATTGACTCGATTATAAAAATGGACGCGATTAGAGTATATACGTCGCAAGTTACGTTTAGGTATTTATCTTTGATGAACATTTGAACATTGAAACAATAAACAAAAATCAGCATATTAACGTACTACCGTGTTAACGAGCAACACCAAACAAGAGCGTTTTCTCACATGTAATAACACTTCGACTAAATATATATATATATATATACATATATACATATATATATATATTAATGTTACTATTTTACTAAATAAATAAACTGAATTAAAAGAAGTAAAATATTTTAGAATTATTGATTCAGCAATTCTGTACTGAAAGCCTTTGGAGCTCTTCTGTCTGTTTGTATTATAAAGTTATTCTATTCTGATAATGATTAAATCAGTAGATATTAATATACTTGATTGTACAGCAAGACAATCCCAATATTTTGACAAAGTTGCATTTCGGAAAATCATCTCGGTATATTCGGACTTCGAAGTGATAACTTTTCAAGAAATTGTCTTTGTAGATTTCGATATACCTTTTTTCTCGGGACAATGCATGCCCACGAGTTTCCACGCGCGAAGAAACTGCTGCTCTAGTGCGAAAGCATCGAGCCGCGGTGCCTCGTCTCCCTTGTTTTGCCTTTCTATTGCCCGATAACGGTATTGATCTGATGGTCGATCTGTTATCGCCATTACCGTGCGACCCACGGGGTGTGTCCGCTGTCGTTCGTGATTTAATGCCCGTTAGAATAATTACGTTAAGTACAAGCTAAGCCCGCGGCATAATTCACCGTTGATGCTCGTCGCGTATCGTCGGAAATCGTCTTATTGGATTTTCGAGCCCCCTAATCACCGTGATGATTTATCATGGTGATTATAGTGAAAGACGAACATTTTCCACCTAGGTTAGTCCCATCGTGGACGACGATGTTCTCTTGGTATCTAACGTGAAACGATTCTTCGCAAGCTGCGTGCATCTCGTAGGATCGGACGGATAAGTTCGCGACCGACGATAAATCTTTTTCCGTATTGAAACAGCGCGCGCGATAAAACACACTGCACTCGACCTAATTTCAACGTGGATTGACGTGACCTCAGACGGCATCAGCTCGTGGATCGTAATCGGAAGTCGAGACATATGCAATACGAACGCATTTGCATTTATTGCCAACATCACTTTACGACGTTTCTATCCTATCGAGATTAACAGATATCTTAACATTTTTCTTCCCGACATTTATTTCAGATAAGATTTGATCTGAACGTATTTATAATCGTATTTGGAAATATCATTTGTATATTTTTGTATTGCTTCCAGGATATGCGAAAGACAAAGAGACGTCGATAGACGCAACGAAGATGACGACGAGGATGAGAATTCATTGGGAAGATGGCCTCATGCCCTTAGCCCGGCTCTCGCCTGTCTCGGTTGTACTCTGGGACTTTTTAATATCAGTAGATTCGCCATTCTTAGTATACAGTTCGGAGGTGAGTGCATCGAGCAATTACAATTGACTATGTTGCTGTCGTAAAAGTATTCATAAAAATATATTGAAATTCCATAAAATTAAAAATTTGTATGCTATTATGTGTATGTATGCTATTTTCGAGGTAACAGTCTGTCCTCTGAATAATTGTATACTTTGGGAAAATTATATTTTGGGATATTATTTCTCGGTATTCAAATTTCGGTATTGTGGCTTTTCAGGAAATTGTCTTAGTCTTTGTAAATTCCGAAACTTTGATTTTTCGGAACAATGCATGTCTGCCAAAATTTTTTCACAAGTCGTTACACGAACTACTTCCATATGAGATAAAATGAAAAATACTTGATCATCTATCATCGGATCGCATCGGGTCGCACGTATCAGATTTGAATAATTCAGACACGCGAAATCGATCTGTTTTTTCTTTTTTTTTTTTCTTTGTTTTTTTTATATATAACGGCAGAAGTGTGATACAATGTATCACATTAATGTTAAGTTCTTTTCATGGGTCATTTGTATCGAAAAATTGGAAGTCAGTAAAATTATATTATTGGTTCTATAAAATTATAGATTTCTTTTAACAAATGTAGCGTAATTACGAAGCATATCTTCTTAAAATTAATAGCAAACCCATAATTATTGTTCATTGATAATAATTCATACCATGACCTTGTCCTTCATAAAACCAATAGTTAATCCCGAGACTGTTTCTAAAAATAATAATCGATTTTTGTCGAATATTTTCACCGAAGAAACAGTTAATTAACCACCTTCAACAGGTAGCCGATACTCATCGAGAATTGTGAGGCAATTACGAATACTTTCTTGCGGAGTGCAAGCAATTCCGTTTATTTTGTTTTATTTCATTTTATTTTGTTTTGTTTTATTTTGTTTCATTTAACTTGTGGCATCTTCTTCCTTACAGCAAACTTCATTGTACAGTTCCTGATTTTATCTCTCATACTGGGTATCCCGTTATTAACGTTACACGTGTGCCTCGGACAAAGACTGGCGGCTGGTTCTGTGGATATGTGGAGGATTTCGCCGATTTTTCAAGGTGTCGGAATAGCTCTGCTCGCTGCGCAAGCTCTCATCGGTATCTACAGTATAGTCGGTGTATCATGGATGTTTGTGTACTTCAGGTACATTTCGATATTTGTTTTGAGGTCTATTTTCAATGATGCGGAATTTAAATGTATAATTAAATTGAAATTTGGAAGATGGATCGAATCACGAGAAAGAAAAATTAAAAAAAGATGAGAACAATTGGATATAGAAATCATGGTTTTCAGACAATTAAGAGAATTAGTTTTATTCGCGTTTCGTATTTCCTGTTTCGTAACAAAAATTTCATCTGCAGATCAATCATTGCTTCTTTTTTTTATAATTTTTTATAAGGGTCCGCGTAATCGTATTATCGGCAATTTTTGACAAATCAACAACACAAATAATGAAAATTACAGATTGATTTATGAACAATATCGATAGATTCATCATATTTGTAAATTCATATTGACCCGTTTCTAATCTGAACATTCTTCATGTTTATCCGAGCATCCAGCATTATCATTTATGCACATCGAGGCTATAATATCATGCCGTTGATCAAGTAGGACAAAATGCGTGGTACATTGATTGCAGAGATTCGTTCATAACGAAGCAGGACAAGTATCGATGGGCAGAACCGTTTCTTCTTTACCGAGAAGACAGCCGTCCCACGCACAACACCACTACTTCGTACAAATTGCATGAAACTGTTCCGGATTATTTTAGCGGTGCTGTGCTACAGAGACACCATTTGAACGACACTGATCCTGGTGTAGTAACACTGAAGTTCCAAGTGGCCTTCAACTTAGCAGTTGTATGGATGATCGTGTTTGTTTCATTGAGCAAAGGTAAGTATTTCTCGTTTAAATGGGAGTCGAAAAAACTTTCCATCGTTAATATTGTCTGCAACAACTTCTAATTTTTTCTAACAAAATTCTGCTAACATTTATAGATTTATAAATTAAAACAGTAACAAAGAATTTAATTGAATCACGTATATAGCAGGTGAAAGATCTTCAAATCTGTATTACTGAGCGTCTCTACTGTAAAATGCAGCCAGTACAAAATGCCATAGCATTCGTCAATTTACCGGAATGTAAGGGAAAATTTGTTATGTTGTTTATTATTTATTTACGCAGGTCTAAGGTCCTATGGAAAAGTGGTGTACGTGTTCACATTAGTGCCCGTGGTCGGGACGCTGGTTCTCTGCGCGAAGCTGCTGGGCCTCAACGCGACCGGTTCAATACAACACCAACTTTTCCCTGCCACTGTCTGGAGCGAATTCTTCATCAACGGGAAGTCATGGGTGGCTGCCTCGAACGAGGTCTTCCTCACATGGGGTTTACTTGGTGCGGCGGCTATGCAGGTATCGTCGATAGCAACTAACAAACTATCGCTCAGTTAGAATTATTATTTTATTTTCGCGGCGATTCGCAACACTCGAACGCGATCGTACAGTATCTCATTAGCTCATGTACTGCCGTTTCAGATAGCGGCTCATAACAAGCACAAGCATCTCCTGCAGCGAGATACGAGCCTCGTGGTGGTCTTGACGTTTGCCGTTCTCCTTCTCGCAGCATTCTTAGCGAACACTTGTGTACAGATTCTCAACCATCACGGCTACATTTACACTACCAGTTCGTTCGGTAAGCGTATCGCCATCTCGTCCGCCCAAACGATCGGATCAGTGCATCTGTATATGTATTTACACTCATGGTTATTCCCGAACGATTTCAGAGAGGATATCAGGGTATACGTTTATGAGGTTTGCCAATCAACAAGCACCGCCGGAATACAGCACCACACCGGAGAGATTCATGTCCCACGCGTCTTTTCTTCTTGGTCAACGCGTGATCCGACCTAACACGGACGTGAGCACTGAGTCGGGATACCAGGTGTTAAGGCTATGCACTGAATTGGTACCTGCGACGTTGGCAATGTTAGGTACAGAACAAGTATCACCGTTCTGGGCGGTCCTGTTTTACTTCATCATCATCTTATTTGGAATCGCGCAGCAGGTATGGTATTTTGATGAATAAGCTGCTATAAATAAAACTTCGTAATTTATTCTATGTAATTTAATTAAGATTCATATATTCGATATATAGTTAATTATCTATTTTAACGGATAAGCGTATAACGGACGCGAATAGTCCTGAAAAGGAAACGTTAAAGATCAAAAAGTGGGACAATTTCTTAAAAAAGTTATCATATCGAAATCCGAATATTGAAACAATTCCTCGAGGAGAAATTTTACTGAAGTAATGAGGAAATCATACAATATTTCATTATTTCTTTAATTTATATTTCGCAGTACAAACACTGCTTTGCTGAATAATATTTAGAATATCGTTGCTGTTTTCTCGAACAATCATACAATATGTGATGTAGAATAATTCATGTGATAAAAGATCCTATATCTGGATATAATAAGTGTCAGAGAATCAACATCAGCGAATGTGCAGCAAAAGTATATCCACATGGATACATATTAATAAACCTGTATATATTGTTTTTGAGATAATAATTCCCTTTCGGGACATTACGGTTACTTCGACAAAATTGGATTTCGCGAGGTTATCTCGGTATTTGGATTCCGCAGTTATGATCTTTCGAAGAAATTGACCAAGTTTTCGAATTTCGAAACTGATTCTTCAGCAGAATACACGATAGTACGTCTACATCTACACGTGTAACGAGGTGTAAAGATATTTAAGTATTTGCTGTAACATTCCAGTTGGCTATTTGGCATTGTGTAATAACTGGCATAATGGCCATCAATACGAAGATGATGAAACTTTGGGAGACGACCATCACATTCTTCAGCTGCGCTTGTGCCTACATACTCGGATTGCCTATGGCTACGGAGGTACGCCTGAATTCTTCATAGTGTACTTAGTCAAAGATAATAAATCTTTTTGATAGATTTATCGTTACTTATCGGCGGATGGATATAAACGAGCAAGTACGGCCCCTTGATTACATGTTACAAATAACCGTGCATACAAATAACCGTATTATTGGTTGGGGATGCGCCGTCGTGAATATCACGATTTAATTTATGCGGTGTAATACAAGTGATACAGATGTGTCGCGTAAATATGTAACGTCGAATGTATGCCTGTAATATTATCTTCCATCTCTGCGCGAGCTCCCCAACTGCTCTTATCAGATATATCGCGTAATCTCTCATTTACCCAGAATTGTTATCGGCCTAAGTTTTTTCACTCGCACCATGCGAGACCACGCAGTATCGCGAGTGCGTTCACGTCGAAACGAAACTCACATGAGTATGGAACGAAATATGAGTAATCACGTTCACACAATAGTGAGCCGTAGCGTGCCTTGCTACTTCTGCAATGAATTTCTGGAAGAGAAGTACTTGTCGGAACATATGACGCACTGCGCGTCCATTTTGGAGGAATGCTCGAACAAGTGCGGCGTTTATGTGCCTCGTAAATACCTGGAAGGTCATCAGAAATCATGCGTCAAAAGAATGTCGAAAAAAATCAACCAAACGAGAGACGCCGAAGACTCGGTGTGGAAAGAGAAAGTATTCTCGATATTAACGCTACTGCGTCTGGCCATCGATCATGGAGAAAAGGAGCGGGTTTACCTGCACGAAGCGTTCTCGAGAAATTTGAACTTGCTGCATTCTCAGCAGGAATCTCTCGCTGCGTTGCAGTCGAGCATCGTAGAGGCAGTCGAGGAGGCTCGTGTCAACAACTCTTTACTGTGTCGGAGATTGGATGATTTGGAGATTATCACTGACAACGCACAGCATCGCACCAGCGTGAGTTTCCGACAAATCTCCGAGCAGCTGAAACTGTTCGGGGGAGAATTGACTGGCGAACGAGGTAAGCACGAGCGTGTGCTGGACGATTGGTTCAAAGAATTGAGAGATCTCAAAACGTTCGTTGCCAAAGAGGGTGTGCGCGTGAGCGACATGTGGCAAGAGCAGACACAGCGTATCAATGATCTAAAGCTCGAATTGGAGATGAGATGCAAGGACTCGAAAGAATTGACGTCCAAGCACGACACCTTGTCGAAAGACATGGATAATCTGCTCGAAGTAGTTCGCAAGCTTTCCGAGGACATGGCCAGACAGAAGTCCGATCTGAAAGGCCTGAAGTTTCAAATAAAGGAGAATCTTAAGTACCTCGAGGAGTTGATCGCGGATAATTCCAGAGCAGAATCTCCGGCGAGTTCGTGTGTCTGCGCGGCGGAAAAGGACGAATGCGGCTCGACAAATGGTCATATTATATGGCGAATCGATGGTTACAGGGAGATGATGAACGAGGCCAAGGAGAACGATCGTGCACTCTACAGTCCAATATTTTTTAATAAGAAATACGGCTACACTCTACGAATTGAGTTATTTCTGAACGGCAAAGGTCAATGGAAAGATCGTCACATCATCGGTTGTCTACGCGTGGAAAGTGGCAAATGGGATCCTCTGCTTGATTGGCCTTGTGTACTCAAAGCCTCCGTAGTCCTTCGCGATCAAGACAATCCTGCGAACGACGTGAAAAAAATCGTAAAAACCATTGGCCGACATAAGGATGATTCAGATGATCCTGATAAGAAATCCGACTTCTATATGTTCATCCCTCATACGACGCTGAGCAGATATCCCGGTTATACGAAGAATAACGCCATGTTTTTCGATATACAAGTGCGGGATGTAAAAGCGAGTGCTTCGATGACGTCATTAGTAGCTCAGTGATTGTACTATCTTTAACGATTAATTTGCCAATGATTAATCTAATGTTAATGATGAAAAGCAATGAATAATAAATGATAATATATAATACGACACACAAATTTGACGATAACAATATATAATAACAAGATCTATTGCGTAAATATACTGGTAATAATTTGTATTAGTTATCAGACTTATTAAATTAATTGTTAATGAGTTTATAATAATAATGCTGAAATGATTCTAATAATAATAGTTGAATCATGCTAATAACATTTTAACTTTTAAATACAACATCCCCTTTCAGTTACAATTCTGATGAAAATATAACTAAATATAAAAAAAAATGTTACGTTTAATCATTATGATGTATTTTTGTGTTGTTTGCAGCTGGGTATTTATGTCGTCTACTATCTTGATTACACTGTCGGTGGTGCATGGTGGATAATTATCCTATATTTAATGCAAGTCGGCGCCGTGTTCGCGGTTCGTGGACGTCCACATACCGGAGAAGCAGTCGTGGCCGAATTATTTCCACCGACAGGACGATGCCTCAGATACTGGGCCGGTCCTCTGTTATCCTTTACGTGGAACGTCATTCTCCCTGTGGCTTTACTGGTAAGTACCCTAGACTTTGATGGTAATCATCAGATTTACATTCAATCACACTCAACGTCATCATGTTACTTTACCGTAGGTCCTCACTATTACAATATTCAAAAGTGGCGGCTTCCGGGACCTCTATTATTATCGTCGTGCGAGCAAAGAATACTGGGCCGTGTGGGCAAGGCAACTCGGCACTGCAATTCAGTTGATACCAATACTAACAGTACCGGCAGTGGGTATCATACAGACGTGTCGATATTTGAACAAAGGACCACCTGATATATTTGACGTAAGTCCACCCCATTGTTTTCACGAAGTTGTAATTCACCATTTCAGCATTTTTTTATTGGAAGTAAATCGATCGTGTATAAAGAAGAAATAACAAAATTAATGTTTAAACAGTAATATTAAAAAACGATTTCGCGAGTAGAAAAAGCACACGAGAAGCAGCGATGCACACATGGTTGATTGTAATTTTATCATAGTGTTTGTATTCAACTCTATATAGACGCATACATATCGACAATCGTTCAACGTGAATAAACGAAAACTGTCATGTGTTTGTTAACAGAGAAACGTACTTATCAAACAAGACCAGGCACGCAGTTTTATCTTGTATCTTCTTTCTGAAAATATTTAGCCATATGTTTTATTTTGCAATCTATTTGCGTCGTAAAGACTATATTAAATGTTTCAAACATTTCCGCCCGATTGTTCTTCCTGCAAAGTTATTTGTGTCAACAGAATCTTATACTACTAACAAAGAAGGTTAGGGAACGCGAAAATTCAAAAAATTCTGAAACTTTGCAAGTAATTCCAGTCTGAGGGGGTGAAACCACCGTTCGGAGAAAAAAACCATTTTCATGTTTAGCGTATATCTTTTAAAATACGAGACATATGCAAAATGACTTACATAAAAGTTATAGTGTATTTCAAGTAGCGTATTTTCTTTGCAACTGTATATTCAGATTTTGCAAAATTGAAAAATTTTTTAAATCCCCTTCCTCCTCATTACTTTAAAAAATGTTAAAGTTGTTCTTAGGGCAAAAATAATGAGTATCGTATATCAAATTCATTCATATATAACAATAGAAACTGGAGGTGATTACATTTTTTAGAGATGGACAATCACATAGAGCTATAGGCGGTGTGCTGTAGGTAGGCGCTTTTGAATTGCGCTGTATGCTGCGTCTTGTTATTGAATTAATATTTTATATCATAATTTTACATTACGGATGAACTACTTTACTTGCACATAAAGTTTCAGAATTTTTTGAATTTCCGCGTTCCCTAACTTTCCTTGCTAGCGATCCACGTGCTATTACACACACATACAAACACACACTACAAATCACTAAGTATCTTTCACGCTTTCTGTTCTTGCCGACGATAGAATGAACAGGTGGAGGTAACAGTAAATCACTGCGAACAATGTAATGGCGTAAGTTCTCGTTAACTTCCTTTGCGTTAATCTCGCATGCGCACAGTACTGATATTTTGCATTACACTAAATAGTTTATCGAGTAGTTGTTATCGCTAGTGTCAGTTGCTATGGAAGCAGATTAGTGCAAAAGGTTTTGTCGTGTCTGTCAAATGAAACTGCGAAAAAAATAATTAGAAAATAATAATTTTTATAAACAGAATATAAAAACAACATCAACTTAGTATTTCTTTAAGTATTCAACGAGAAATTTTCCTGTTTTATTTTTTAATATCCAAGTCGGTAACTTTCTACAAGCCAGAATTTAATGGGGAGACGACAAATCCTTTAGCCCACTTAATAGAAACATTTAAAATATACATGACACGTATAAATATACGTATTTCCAAGAATATCAAAATGTAATGTCCAATGTTGTCACTCTTTTAACCAAGTAATCCGATTTTTATCACAGAGGATTCAGCTGCTCTATCGGCCACCATTGGAGCCAGACGACGCTCGCGACGCGCACACCCAGATCGGCAGCGATACCGGCACCAGCTTACACGGCAACGGGATTTTGCCCGCCGCGACGACGGACATACCCTTCGAGGATCCGCCGCCTAAATATACGCCGCCACCGAGCTACACCACGGCAACCGGCGCAAGAATTGCGAAGATGTTGCGGCAGAGTTTCCGGCGCAGTGTGCGCAGGATCGCGAATGTCCTAGGCGAGAGTAGCGTGACGTCGAGACAGAGACCGGCGTTACAGCCACCGCCTCCGGATTATGCGACCGTATTGGTGGAAATGAACCAGCAAAGTGGTAACGATGGCGGCGGTAGCATACCAACGTCGCACGACATCGCGATCCACATGACCGAGCCGCGACCGGACGTGACCAATACCGGGAATTGCCGTAGCTATCAGAATAGCGATGTGCCGGTCGAATGGCACCGGCCGAACACCATCGACCGTACCACCAGCAGGATCGCTATGGTGGAGAGACGTGCGATCGAGCGCACCCATTCGACGCTCGACCGCGGTCGCAGGTCGTACGTGAACACCACCAGTATGTCCAGTTCGAACCTGACCGCCGCCGACGTGGCGAACTTGCTACGCAGCAGCATTCGCCGGGGCACAGCGCGGACCCAGCAGTCCCTGCGCCGCAGTTTCTGCCATGAGGAGCCGACGGCGGCGGCGTCCGTCGAGAATCTAGTCGAAGCCGCTGCGCCTATCGGCGAAGACTCTTTGGTCCTAACGAAGGACGCGTCTCTAGTCTCTGACGAGCAACAGGTCGACGATCGCCGCAACGATGATGATTGCGGTAATAGCAATGGCGGTGGCGGTGACGGTGACGAGAAAAAGACTGCGGGCGAAATGGAGAGCTCCGTTTCTGTGATATAGTAGATTGGTCGGTATGCGTCCGGTTGCGTCGATATGTCGCGCGCGATATTATCGTTGCCTCTCGCTGCATCTCGATTTTTTCAAACAGCCGACTCGAATTAATCGGCGAGTCGTCCTCTCTTGGATTGCAATGTCTCGTCTCCGTGATGTTATATAACGAAGAGAGAGGGAATAGAAATTTCGTTAACTGGAGTCTCTTTGACTGATCGGATATCGGACGTAACTGGCCGACAGTCTCCAGTGCTTGATACCCCTCGAGATTAAAAAAAAAACACTGACATTTCTTTCCCCGTGCCTGAATAATTATGTACGCCTGTTACTTCGAAGGGTTCTCTTTTTTGTGTTCTTGCGATATTTATATCTTGATACATATATATAAGTATATTAACTTCGTTAACAGTCTAACAGTCTAAAGAAAATAAAAAATAAACTTTCATAAGTAGTCGAATAAGAAGTAATCAAACTTCTGGCCACGATTCTCAGCATTGGTGCATTGGTTTGATGAAGTTAGACGTAACGGAAATAATGAACGGAAATAATGATGATTTCTTAATCAGGACGCATATTCGATGTCGAAAGCAACGAATACAATTCGAATTCTACGACAGGTATCATTTTTATGTCGGACGAATAAAATTCGGAATCGAAATTATAATTTTAAATAATAATGTAAATAGATGTGTGTGCGTGTGTGTCCTTTTTGATAAATCAGCGAAAAAGAGAAGGGGGAAGGCGAGAGAGTGTGAGAGAAAAATTGCTGTTATTAACAAAATATACAGTATTATTTAACGATGGTGTTGCGAAATGTACGACATCATAAAATCTCCTAACATTACTTTTCTTCTAGTGATCACATGGAAGAAGTGACTGAAGGGCGAACTAAACGGTCTAAGAAAGTATTTCGTCAATTTAGCTCTCGTCTTCGGCTAAAAACTTAAGTTAGGTTTCCTAAGTGTGTTCGAGAACATTTAGTTGTAACATGCTTAAAACCAATCCGCACCGATTACCATACTTTTATTGGTGATTCCGCGAACGATATATCTGCGTGTGTGAATAAAATATAGCTTTGTGTACTTGTCCCCTTTGAGATTAGTTTATCCTGTAAATACACATAATACTTTAACAAATTAAGAGGACACACCTAGGCGGCTTAGAAAAGTCAATGTCTTTTAACATATTCGAAAAGTGCGATGTTTCAAAGATAACTTCCTAAAATTAAGGTAAGTATAAGGAAAATAAGAATTGGTTTTTTTATACTATATGACATAATAAAAGAAAGAAATAAACCTGAAAAAACAAATTTCGCTATGAATTGATGTACAAATATTAAATTTTCTAGAAGTAATATAAAATCAACATACTAAACAGCAAAATCATGAAAAATGCAGTATAACAAAAAAATATAAATGTTAAAATTTTAGATATTAATATGTACAAAAATTCAGCTTTATTAAATTTAAGAAATTATTCCTGAAACATTGTACTTCTAAAAAATTTTAAAAGAGGTAGTCTGTTTTATGTGCCCTCATTAAAATACGTCATACAAGTCGATTGCCTCTATTCGCTAAGTATCTCGTTTATTAGTCAATAACGCTCATCTCACTATAATTTGAGTGTGTACAATCCGTCCAATGTATCTATAATATCTCTGTATTTCAATATTGATAGACATTACATTGTCGCAATTATATAGATTGATTTACGTAATACTTTCACGATTAGAAGCGATCGAGCATTCCGTGGGTACTACAATAGAAGAAAATGATGCACATTGTCTGTGTTCGTATAAATCTACCGTGTCTAGCGTAAATATTCAGATAATTCTTTGTAAAATAAATGTAACTGCTATACCTGATATTATGGACCATAATAAAGTTTTTATGTTCTTGTAAACATTTCATTAGCGTCCAATTACTTTTCCAACATTCTTTTAGTGTTCAAAATAACAAATTTTGCAGCCTCAGACAATATTATAGCACCTTAAAGTTCCTAAAACATCTTAAGGGATGCTGTCACGTAAAGCAAGAAATATTATTTTTGTTTGTCAGCATAGGTAATAATTTTCTTATTAATATTTGTTCATATATATATATATATATATATATAGTATTTATTCTATGCTGAGCGGAGGGAGGAGACTAATTGTCTTCTGGCAATAAAATAATTAAGTATCCTGTGCTCGATTTATACCAAAAAATTTTGGATTTCTACCTTGAAGGAAACTGTCTTCCAAGGAAAATTAATTGGAGAATAAAATCAAAGTTAATAAGTTCGGGCAATTCAAGTTTATATATAAACTCCAAAAAACTATCTCTTCGTCTCTCTCTCTCTCTCTTTACTCCTCTCTTTTTCTGCCTCAAAGTTGAAAAATAAATTCTAAAGATAGAAACAAATTCAAATATTCATGTTATCTTCGGTATAGCCATCGTCGGTGGTGCAGCTGAAACAGTCGGTATTGTCATCACTCTTAAATTATCTTCGGGCCTCTCGGAACCCCTTTGCCAGTACGAACATTTACCGTCTAGATTGACAGTCTAGCATTACCTCGTCAGTGATCTAACTGTATACTCTGTTTTGATATCATGTGTCATTGCACATTTCATCAGGGAGTATCATTTTTATGAAATGTCATGTAAAATATCTCCGAAATATATATACAATAGCCAAGTTTTGTACAATACATGTATACATATGTATTTGTAATTTAATTATATCAATTTTCTTAACGTTTCTCAAAAATTTCTGTATTGTCACATTGTGGAATAAATATTTTCGCGATTTTTCGGGACCAAGATGCCAGAACGAATCGAAATTGGTATGTAAATTTTTTGTTTTTGCAATATTATTTACAATGTATAAATTTATACGCTTGCATTATATATATTTATATATTGTAATATAACCTAATAATGAACAGAATAATAGAAATATACCTGAGACAAAATTAAGATATATAAAGTATATTAGACAATACAAAAATAAATATAATAATATACGTAAAAATATATACATGAAAAGTTCAATAAGAATTAGAAGAACAATCAAATGTTCTATATTTTCAGGTATTATACCAAACAATCTGAGACACGAAGAGACAATAGTTCAAATAGCAGAAGCTCTGGATAATTTAGATGATGCAGTTTCATATATATTTGATTGTGTTGATAGAAGGCTTTCAGAAAATACACAAAGGTAAAGAAAATAATCAACTCTTTGGATCTTAACATATTCCTTATATTTATTATGTGGATAATATAATTTAAATATATTATTTGTTTAAATATCTAATGGTAATACATAATGGTAATATATAGTAAAATAAATATATTGCAGATTAAGCAACATTAAAGAAAGAGCTAGAAAATTAGAAGATAGATTGCACTATCTACAAACTAACTTGAATTTGAAAGCAGTAAAAATGTATTCTGCTGCCAAATATCCAGCTAACTATACTTATAAAGAATATCGAGTAACCATACCACCACAGCATAAAAGCTCGACTATCATACCAAGCATTTATAAGTGTTCTGTGCCTATAAAAGATATTCCTGAGTCATATTTATCTTCTAACTGTAAAACAGAAGACGGCCAGTATGCCGCAAATATCAATCTTCAAGAGAAACTACAATTCTACCATGTACGATCGAAGGTCAGCAAAAAGACGAACAATCTCGAGGATGACGAAGAACCATTCCCACCACAATTATCTTCAGTTAGTGCTCTCCTATTGTTCAATAGCATGGACAGTCCGTACGAAAAAACGTCCATGAGATCATCCCGTCAATCTAACGACAAGCAGCAAATTGAGGACGCGCCGGACTCGATTGTACAACCGTGGCTTTCATCGGAAATGGACTCGTCTTCTAACTATCTGTACACCCCAACTCTTGGAGAGGTGAGAATTTTCATATAATACACCTTGATAAGTATAAATCATATTTTAATGACATATAGTCTATATTAATTATAAATTCTTTCTGTTTCTTTTTTCTCTATGTTAAATTTATATATATCATGGAGAGAATGAAACGTTTAGTAATTGACATTCTACCAATTCTCGATATTCTTATATTTTATCAAATATTAAAGGATATGAGAAATTATTATTTATTTTTTCTTAATCTTCATTTACTTTAATATCTGATAAAATCTGCATAGGAGTGCCGGAAACTGGCAGAATCTATTGTATGTTTTATCTTGAAATTTATTCTCAAGGAAATTTTTACATGTTTCAGGTTCCTCAAATAAATGTACCGCTGACACTTCCAGACCTACCAGGCATTGTAGACGATGAAAAATTTGTGCTCGATCTTAACTCGCAAAGTCCTATTGCACCATCTTCCGCGGTCACGACACCCACCGTACGTTTGGACTTACCAACGCCAAATAGTGACGAGAGGGACTCTCAATTGAAAATTGAGGATAACGCACCGTGTTTACCCGTTTTGACTGAAAACGTGCCTGCCGCGACGGCTATGTCGTCGCGGGAATCTGCGCCACCACCACCGCCTCCTGCACTCGTCGCGAATGCAAATAGTACTGCAAGTAATAGCAAAAGTAATTACCAGCAAATTATGGCACCTCCGCCGCCTCCACCGCCACCACCGCCGCCACCTCCACCGCCACCAGCAGCGGAATCGTCTGTGCCCCTATCAAATGATAACCCGGGAAAGAAAGAGAAAACCGTGAATCGTCCACCTGCGAGGAATATCACAGATGATCGTTCCAATTTGATGGCAGCGATACGAGACGCTGGCGGAATAGGCAGAGCGAAGTTAAGGCCCACTGTACCAGACGAAAAGAAGCGCGATCGATGGTCTTCGGCCTCTGTCGGAGGAGATCTGATGGCAGACTTACATGCGAAATTAGCATTGAGACGCAAAGGTATCGCCGGCTCTACAGTTGGTGCTTTAGAAAGAATGTCAAGTCTAATACCGCCTCCGCCAAAGCCAAACGAGGCATCCGCGTCGGATAGAAACTCCGCCACCAGTGAATATGACTCTCAACCCGACACAGACGATTGGGAAGAGTGATTGTTGCTGCTGCGATGATTGATCAAGTGACGTACCGATAAAGAGTTATTGTAAGAATTGTCGAGAAAAACGTACTATATTCGACGGCTTAAAACGTCAGTATTCATATTCGCGTACGTGGAGATTCAGGGAAACTCCTATACAATTCAGGTTCGATGAAATGAGAGGACGATAGTATCATCAAAATATATAGAGAGATCTGTAGGTATATGTAATCTATTTTTATTCAGCAAAAAATATAATTGTAAATTTCATGCTATGTTTGTCTGCTGATTTATATTTTTTTCATATATAAAAACATTACATATACAAATCACGAAACGTATGATTCATGATTTTCTTAAATATTATTATAAATATATTTATCTGATTGTACATTGATTTTTCCGTACAATTGTAATTATCCCACACATTATGTACGGGCAGAATGATACTATGTACAATTATTTTCACGGATGTATATATTATGTAATTTAAGCGAGATTTGTTAGAAAAATAAGTAAAAAATAAAAATATATTTTTGTGCAACACATTTTTTTATTTTGCGCAAGTAAATCATTAACCATATCATTCAAATAATCGACGAGTAATCGGTCATACAGAGAATAGCTTCAGAAAATAAATTTCCATGACCGATTATATGCTAATTCTTTAAACAATTCCTAACTAATTTCAAACTATGTATATTCCTAACGGTTTCCTAAAAAAGTTTAATATTGTTTAATTACTAACAAATACCATTATCATTTTTATTTGTTGTATATATGTATATGTATATATATATCCTTCAACTTCAGCAGTCTTGTGCATAAAGTGTATAACTAGTTCCTCCATTATGGCTCTGATTATATATTTCTTTGAATACGCAATATGATATATAATATATGAATATTGAATAAATGTGGTTTTATATTCAAACTATATAACACATGTTCATTCAATATAAAAATTTATATATATACATACATACACATACACATAATATATATATGCATATACCCAGATAGCCAAACCTGTGCGAGCTGATTTCGAGCAAAGCCTGCTATCATAGTTTCATGGCAAATAGGCAACAAATTTAACGCAGAATCTGTTATATCAAATTATACCACCAATCTGCGGTCAAATATGCGCCAGATCCTGCTGTCGGATATTTGACGGCAGATTTGTAGCAAAAACCGCGCAAGACTTGCAGTAATTTGACGGCAGATTGGCGGCAGAAACCGAGCAAATTCTGCGCGTAGTTTGGCAGCAGGACCTGCGCGGTTTCTGCCGACAATCTGCTCGCACGGCCTGCACGCAGGTCCTGTCAACAAAACACGAGCCTAATGAGGACACTGATAGCTATGGTTTTGATGTGGGGATCTGATCGAAAATGGCGTCAATTTGCACGCATTCTGCTAGCATTTTGCTTACTGGGTACATATCCTATAATTGTGGAATATAATCTTTGTGATATCATTTAGGAATATTATTATCACATTCTAACATGATATGTTTATGAAGGAAATTTGGTGTGTGTGTATATATATATATATATGTGTGTGTGTGTGTGTGTGTGTGTGTGTGTTTGAAACTATAAAGTATTCGGTAAAAACGAATATATTTATTTATTATGGGTACTTTATCTATTCCCTGATAATATACTTTCATTTGTTTGTCTGGTAAACAGTTTAATGTCGATAGTCGTACGAATTGCAAAAGTCCCATATTCAAATATAAATTTTTTTTCAAACATACATTTCACAACATATTTTAACATGATGTGATTAATTTCTCTTCTGAATTTTGTAATATCTTGCGAGTTCCCTAATATCATACATCGACCTTTTGAGCTGCATTGTCATTTTAAAGCAGAAACAAATTCTGTTGATTTGCTTTTGTCATGATAATGAATTAATTCTTTCTGCATTTGTATTCATAGAATACAAATGACAAAATAGCATAGACGACGGACATAGCAAAACAACTTTTCTACTCATTCATCCTGTTGTACCATGCCAGATTTCTATACATACATATATTAGTTATAAACTTGGTACGATCCAGTTCAAAAATTTCATTGCAATTTCGAAGCCCATGAAACAAGATGCATTTGCCGGGAAAGCTCGTAGCATTACCGGTACGACACCTTTATAAAGGGCTGTAGGTCCTTCGTTTTTCATCAACTTAACAAATACTTCACGTATTCCTTTTTTATATGTGCCTTCTGGTGCTGTAATATACAATATTTGCTAAAACTATAGATCTTATTTAGCCACCTATAATTACTTGCACTATGGTGTGAATGTTTATAAGTTTGTAACTTCAAAAATAATACGAAATCATCAAAAATAATCAGAAATGATAGAATTTTTAAATCGAGCTACTTGTATACTATTCTTAAAGATATAAACTAGAAATTTAAGAGAAAAAGAAAGATCCGAATTTCTTCCAAGGTGGCCTCACTCCCTTAATCAATAACGGTTTCGCTAGGCTCAATTGCATAAAATATTAAAGAAGATCGCGAAAAGCTTTCTTTCTTCTTGCTGTTATGCTAAAATATATACATACCAGTTTGCAGGCGACTTTTTAGGATATCAGGTGGCATTCCCACCAACCAATTCGCAATTCCTGCAAAACCGCCAGCTGCTATGGTAGCCAGTAAACTAAGCTTGCCTCCCTCAGGAGTGAATTGTTCTTTCAGATATTCATATGTCATGAAGTACATACCACTGGCTGGAATATCTAAAAGTATTCGAGATGATGGTAATTTAGTAATCGCTCAAATATTCTTACGCAGACCGAGGTTGACACATAAACATTATGTACAATTAATAATAGCGAGTAGAGCGTGTGGGCTGACAGATAGAAGGCATCCTGTTTGATAAGAAGCATCAAGGCATATAGATAACAGTTAACAAAATCCAGTTTCCTTCGGGCCAGCGTGCTGTTACTGGCCTCAAGTAGCGTGCTCTGTTTCAAAATCATAATTGAAATAGTGATACAACATGACGCTTGTTCTCTTATTTCTGGTGGTTTGGTTTTTGGTACATTTTAATATTTTATTTCACTCATATACTATTAATTAGCCGATTGCATTTTCTTTGCAATCATTGCATGCCAATATATATTCGATGGATACCAATATAATTATTAAACTAGATCACACATAAGACGAAAGACAATTAAGATCCAAGTAAAACTAATCTGAAAAAATAATCGTTAATTAATTGCAAAAAGCAAACTTAAAACGTGTATGTATTTCGTTACAATAAAATTAATCAAAATTGCGTTATGTTCAGGATCAGTGTAAAGGACAAATTATCAGTATCGGTGATATGTGGGAGATGAATTGCCCGAAAGAATGTACTTGCGAGATTCAAAAGTTTTCTGATCTGCCTCTACATCAATGGACTGATACTTATAGAGATAAGGATCAGGTATGAAGAAATAAATTATTATTCTATACTCGCTTTCATAATTAATCGTGTTTTCATTAAACAGGATACGTCCTTCGATCATGACGACTTTAACATAAATGATGACCATCTCATGGCTCATGAGTTGCTAAAAGTTGCCACGTGTGTAATTGTCGAAAATCCTGAAGAACTTTTGGATAGGCTTCCTTTGGATATACAGGTCATATATGAAGCACACATAAATCCTTGTGTTTACTTTTATGTTTATATATGTATGGTGTGTACATATATAAACATAAAAATATGACTTAAATAAATGTAGATCGAGACTAGTGAGCTGGCAAACTGGCTCCTCCATTCTACATTATCTTTTCACATAATATTGTTCTTTAAATCTTTTTAATCTTCGCTTTTAAATCGAGAAATATACAAAATTAAAGCTGTGTCAACCCTTATCCGCATTGTCATTAGCTAAAATACAGATAATAATTGATGATGCGGAACAGATGGAAGCAAAATCGTAATTGAAAGTTCAGTAATCTCTAAATTAAATAATTAATATTTACGAAATTAAAAGAATGCTAGTTCCCTCATTCAATGAATCCTTTTGTTGTTACAGGAAGATATACGTGTTAAGAAGTTAAACTTCCGAGAATAGTTTGTGCTATTGTTATTAAACGCTTCCAAAATAATATATATATATATGTTATTATATATGTATATACAGGGTGTCCCATTTTATTTTTGACAGTCAAATATCTCGAAAAATATGGAAGATATGGAAAAATATTTCAGACAAAAGTTGTATAGTTTCAAGGGGGACATAAAATAGAGCTATATCAGTTTGTTTACAGATGGCGCCACTTTTAAAATATCCACTGATCATTACTTTTCTTAAATGGAAACCCGAATTTTTTATTATGTCATCCTTTTCTATCAATTAATTTGAACAATACTTGGTCTCAAAAATATATTGTTACAATAGCGCCTTGACTTTTGTTAATTTGATGATTTTGAAATTTCTAAAAGTCGGTAAGTTAACAAAAGTTAGGGCATTATTGTAACAATATTCTTGAGACTATTCTTGAGACCAAATAGAATAAAAAAGTCTAATACCATTTTTCTTCCGATAAACAGTCAGCGAGATATCGTAAGTTAAATATTGAAAAAGTTACCAAGTTTTCATGAAATATCTCAAAAAATATTAGGTAAATAAAAAAATGTTTCAGACAAAAGTTGATCAAATTGATAGAAAAAGATGGTATAATAAAAAATTGGGATTTCCGTTTAAGAAAAATAATGATTAGTGAATATTTCGAAAAAATTTGGCGCCATCTGTAAACAAACTGTTATAGTTATTTTATGTCCCCCTTGAAACCATACAACTTTTGTCTGAAACATTTTTCCATATCTTCCATATTTTTCGAGATATTTGACTGTTAAAAATAAAATGGGACACCCTGTATATATGATTTGTACTTATTTTGGTCTCTCTAAAATGAACAAATTTCCGATTTATTTATTTACTTTCTTTATCTAGAATACTCTAATTTCTCTAGTTATTTCTTCAATTTTTTTTAGGTTCTTACGTTACTCGAATCCGGTAACGGAGATATTGATATTCCTCTGAGAGTTACAACGTTTCAACACTTCACGGAATTAATATCGTTGGATATTCAAGGAATAGATTATAGTGATCCATCAATAAAAGAGGCGAACAATTATACAAAGAAAGAAGGCGGGATTCGTCTGTTGCCCGATACCATGTTCCCTCTTGGGTTGACTTTGCTTTATTTGAATTTAGAACGCGTTAAATTGACGAGTTTGGATATGTCCAATAAAAATAAGGCGAATTTAGTGATCAAGCCGGTGAATTCGCATAAAATCGAGACGGTTAATGACGATCGAGCACCCGCAAGCAATATCAGCCAACACAAAGGGCACAGGCTCATATTTCTAAGTCAGCAAAATAGCAGCGAGAATGATGACAAAGAAATATTGCCCTATGATCTCTACAAGCAAGAATTGGAAGGCTACAGAGAAAATGTCGAACTGTTTGCCGCGCTGGGCATACTGACACACTTGAGAGTGTATGATTGCGCTCTCGAAGATATATCATGGCAATTATTCGACGGTCTCAATAGCTTGCTTTATCTGTCGTTGGAGAAAAACAATCTGAAATTCATTCCGGAATTCTGTTTTTACGGCACGCCGAATCTGAGATCACTGTCACTGGCGGGTAACGAATTACTAACATTGAAGAGTGTCGATTTAGCAGGATTACTGATGCTGGAGCATCTGGACCTGAGGCAAAATAATTTAACTTTTCTGTCGGAGTTGTCGTTTCCACCGTTCCCGGCACTTTTAACTGCCGATTTTACAGATAACCCTATAGATTCCGTTTTCCCAAGGTGATGAATATTTTTGCACATAACATCTGTGATGAAATACACCCGAAGAGGTTCGTACATATATTAATTATTAACAAAGATATATGTTTCAGTACTTTCGAGATTATGAACACGACGATAAAATTGTACCTCGGAGGCATAGTGTCGAGACTGAAGCTGCAAAAGAACTCGTTATTAGGTCTACGTCGAGCTGAAATATTGCATTTGTATAATTTAGAAATACTCGTTCTGGAACGCTTTATCTTGAATGGCTTGCCAGCGCTAACGCATCTCAAGATGCGAGGAAGCGTCACAAGTATCGATTTCGACGCATTTGTTGATCTTACAAATCTGTTGGATCTAGATTTGAGTCAATGTTCTATCCAAAGAATTTCTATGGATGCGTTTTACGGTTTAGAGAAAGTCAGAAGAATCAACTTGTCGGATAACAATCTGAAGTTTATACCACCAGGTTTATTTGCTGTACAACAACAGAAGGAACTGCGGGAGATTATACTCACGAAAAACAAATTGACATCATTACCTTTCGATTTCTTTAGAAACCTGAGGCTACCGAATAAACAAATGCAAGTGCAAAACATAAGATTGGACGGCAATCCTTGGGATTGCACGTGTATGATGGTCAATTGGAATCCACAATTGGTAACTAATATTTCATCTAATTTCTCTGTTTACTTCTATTATTTATAGATAATATCAATAATACTTCGTATCAACAGATAATATTATTAACAATTTTACGCAACATAGGTCAACAGAAATAAGGAAACGGCCCCTCGATGTTTAACGCCAAAACGATTGGAAAATTGGGGAGTTTTTTATGCATTACGTAAGGGTGGTTTACAATGTGGAAATTTGAAGAAGCGATACTTTCGAAAGTCTCTGAAAACAAGAAATTCTGAAGAGGATAACAATATCAGTTAGCTAATTTTCCTTCAAATTGCACATATATGTCAACAAACACATAGAATCGAGAAATATATTGAAAATTTTTATAGAATGACAATTTCTATAGAAATGTATTTTATATATAATTCCTTCTAGGTAAGTAAAACTGTATATGTAGTAAATTTGTATAAAAGTTGTCTGAACTTTTTCTAAAGCATTATACAATTATTTGATAAATATTAACATTATATATCCATATAAATATGATAACACAGATATGATAAACAGTAAGATTACAAAATTATAGACATACCTCTTAATAATGTAGCACAGGTGCCTTTGTATATACTTCTAATACCTCCTTCTCGATATAATTGCTTTGTACAATCTAAAGGTCCGCTATACTTTGGTTTAGCATCTGCATGCTGTATTTGTAATAGACACTTAATACGTTCTCCAGGTGCCATTATAATTGTGGTAAATATTCCACTAAAAGCACCAGCACAAAATAATTGTGTTGTTGTAAGCTTTTCATCCGGAGTACTCTGTTGTAGTTTTTTTCCAACACCATATCCAAAGAAACTTATCGCAAATATCGGCGCAACACCACATAATGGTGCAGCCATACCTGAACAAAAAAGTTATACATTCTAAGTATTATCATAAAAAAATAACTATCATTAATAGATTTTCCTTGTAAAATAAAAGTTTCTATGTTATGAACATAAATTTGTAAGCATATAAATGTAAAAATTTTATTGTTGTTGGTATTTGTTAAAATTTAACAGTTATATGATGTTTGTCCACATATACTGTCTATTGACATCATCCATTACATAATATGAAAAAGCTTATAAGTACTGAAAAATTTATTATCTGACTTGGTTTTGTAAAAGCTCATAAAAATATTGTTTATTTAATAGTACCTTTATATTTAATGTTAATATTGTAAGTTTAATATACAAAAAATTTTATATACAATATTTAATATATACAAATATAAATACCTTTGTATAAGCCACGTATTCCTTCTTTAGAGATAGTTTTTTTAGCACAATCCCATGTACCAGAATACAAAGGTAACTCATTAGGTTTTGGCACAGGCATAGTTTGAAGACGTACCTGTATAAAATAATCTCCTTTATTCAACAAGTAATATATAATTTAATCAGTAAAAAATATTAAGTAATATTATTAAATACAGATTATTTCTAATTAAACAACAATTTTAAACAACTTGAACAATATAATTTCTTGCTATATATAATTCTTATTAACCACTTCCGATTTTTTGTGAATTAAATTAATGTTGTAAAAAATATTGTTTTTATTAAAAATAAAACCTAGAATATAATTTTTTACACAGCTTTTTACAAATAAAAGCAGATTGTATTATTTAAATTAATTTTAAATAAAATTAAGGAAAGTAGGGACATGCAAGATTAGTTCAGTATGACTTAACAAGCTCAACAAGATAAATAAACTATTTAAATGTAACCTTACTTTAATAGTGTCCAAAGGATGACCTGCTAATACGGTACATACTCCACCAAATCCACCACTTAAAAAATATTTAATCGGGCTTACGGTGTCCGACATGATGTTGTTGTTTAGAAGTCTTTAGTGATACTGAAGAGATATTATTCACGATTGGACCTTTGATTTAGTAAGCCGGGGTCAAAGTACACAATCAGTAAGTCCTTTATATAGCGTGATCATAAATCCTATTAATCACACATAACAATTGTTTACAATATTTTACGTGATATTTATTTTCTAACACATGTCCTTCTTTATATTGTAATGACATTTTATTCTGATATAAACGAAAGAAGTTATTAAATAAGTATATATGTACGAAATGCAGGAATTATTATACAAACCAGATGGAGGAACAAGAAAGAACATAAAACGATTTTCCATGACGCTGCCGTACGAAGCGCCGCTGTTAGAACTACGTAGCTGATGCCTACGAATTTTCTTGGTAACACACGATGTCATTGATGAGATACTATCAAAAATAGTCAATGGATAAATTTTCATAGTCTTCGGAAAAGCCTCAACAAACTTTAGGAAATCGAAGAGCGTTGGTATTATCGAACATTTTATTCAACTGCAGACTATCTTTAATGGCTGGTAATTAAAAGCAACAAATGGATATGAGGTGTTCTATGATTACGTTCCGATATTCACTGTCAGTAGTGAAAATCTATAGTTCATGCCACGTATACTATAGTTTTCCAGTACTGCCAGGGAATACCTCAGAACGCAGTTTATGAATGTAGCATCTCTAGTCATATATTTTCAGTATATGACAGCTGGCGACACGTTGGCTTTTATGCAAATGTATAGTTTTGATACTATGAATATGTTTGCTCACATATAATTATTAATGTTCGATACGTTGACATATTTCTACCATTGAGCCGGCTTCGCGTTACCTCGACTTATTTCTTTCAACGAAAGGTACCGAATACTTCATTTATTTATCTTTCGCTATTGTTAGCTAAAAATGGGACAACTTGGTTCCGTGTTAACAAGATACACAATGGAACGATTTAAATTACGATTATAAATTACGTAATTAAATTATAAAACGTTTTCAAAATAGAAAGTTTTATTGCTAGAGATATTTTCGAGTGATCTTGCATAATAATCTCAAAAATCGAGATGACATTCTTTATAGGCTATTATCTTAAGCCTGTTCAAATTTTAGGTATATAATCAGCAAAAGATGAGGATTGTACAGTTCAGAAGAAACCGTCTATTCCACGTACTAATTGGTAGCATAGTTGTACTACTAGTTTTATATATTCTTTTTGACTTTTCCTCAGACAATCATATAAACAACATAAAAGAATACTGGGCACAAGGTCTTAGTAAGAAACAGGTAAAATATAGTCTGATTGTTGATTGTTTTGATTATTTTGTCAAATAAAATTTCTTATATTCTTAACATTTATTTCAACTTGCAATTTGTTTTACATATAGGCTACAGTTTTTGTAGAAGGTTTAGGAAATTTTGAACCACGTGATACATCATTTAAAGCTGGTCCTGGAGAGGGAGGTAAACCACATATTTTAAGGGAAGATCAGCAAAATGATGTTCAACAATCTGAATCTGATTATGGTATGAACATGGTATGTTCTGATGAAATTTCAATGTCTAGATCAATACCTGACACTAGGCCAGCAGAGTAAGTTCTTTCTATTATGACTGATTGTCAATCTCTTATGACAGTATGAATCCCTGGCCTATAATTTAATCTTTATTCTTTTGTGATGCAGATGTAAACATTGGAACTATCCAGAGGAATTACCGCGTACTAGTGTTATTATAGTATTTCACAATGAAGGTTGGTCTGTTTTACTGCGAACTATTCATAGTGTCATAAATCGTACTCCTTCAAAGTTCTTGGAAGAAGTTCTTCTTGTTGATGATTTCTCCGATAAAGGTATGCTCAGAAAATATAATAATTAAACAATTCTTTGATCTATTATTCTGCCTCAATTGTCTGTGCCACAATTTACTTGAAATGTAAATTTTTACTTAAAATTTTATTAACATAAATTATATATTATAATTTTTTTCATAGAAAATTTAAAAGATGACTTAGATTCTTATATTGAGCAATGGGGAGGTAAAGTTAGATTATTAAGAAACTATGAGAGACAAGGCTTGATACGAACACGTTCTCGAGGAGCACGTGAGGCCAAGGGTGAAGTAATAGTATTTTTAGATGCCCATTGTGAAGTCAATGTGAATTGGTTACCTCCACTTTTAGCACCAATTGCTGAAAATAGGTAATATAATTCAACATTATCTTATATCTTATATCAACAGAGAGAAACTTGATGTATCATATTTTATTATATTGATATATAAGAATTTGAGTACGATTAAGTGTAGAATACAATGATAAAATCTTTAATTCTTTTCTGAAGCAAATAAAGTAAATAAGCAGAGCTTCTTTATCTAACTATATTGTTCTTTTCAGAAATGTAATGACAGTTCCTGTGATAGATGGCATTGATCATAAGACTTTTGAATATCGTCCTGTATATCAAGAAGGACATTTATACAGAGGAATTTTTGAGTGGGGCATGTTGTACAAAGAGAATGAATTACCTAGGCGTGAAGCGAAAACACGCTCGCACGATAGCATGCCATACAAGTACGATTTTTGTTTCGAATTTTGTACAATCTTACTATTCAGCCTGATTCTTCTGATTCAATATTGTCTCATTTATCACATTGATAGGTCACCTACACACGCCGGTGGCTTGTTCGCGATAAATCGACAATACTTTTTATCTCTGGGTGGATACGACGAAGGATTGCTTGTCTGGGGTGGCGAAAATTTCGAACTGTCATTCAAAATATGGCAATGCGGCGGTACTATTCTGTGGGTGCCTTGCTCGCATGTTGGTCACGTTTATCGAGGTTTCATGCCTTATACATTTGGTAAACTCGCTCAAAAGAAGAAAGGACCATTGATAACTATCGTAAGTATAACGTATTATATTTACAAATAGATATATATATATACACAAAATTATTAAGCTAGATATAATTGCGCAGTAAACTCTCTTACAGAATTACAAACGAGTTATAGAAACATGGTTCGACGAGAAGCACAAAGAATTCTTTTATACCAGAGAACCTTTGGCTCGATTTCTTGATCATGGCGATATATCCGAGCAGTTAATGTTCAAAGAACGAAGAAAATGTAAGAGCTTCCAATGGTACATGGATAATGTAGCATATGATGTTCTAGACAAATTTCCAGAATTGCCACCAAATATTCACTGGGGAGAGGTAAATATGATTAATTAAATGAATTGATGTCTCCCCTTAAGTTTTGTTAACTAATTTATTTTTACTATATTAAATATTTATATTCAGTTGCAAAATGTGGCAACTAAATCGTGTTTGGACACTATGGGCCATGCACCACCAAGTCTTATGGCTACTTCCCACTGTCATGGTTTTGGAAACAATCAGGTAATTCGCGAATACTTATATTTTGTGTTATATTACATTTAGAATATATTATATTTATATATTTAGAATAATTTCATATCTACGTCACATTATATATTATATTTAATTCCATATTAATAATTTAATTTCACATTTTTATGATTAGCTTATGAGACTGAATGCAAAGGGTCAATTAGGAGTTGGTGAAAGATGTGTTGAAGCAGATGGTCAAGGTGTAAAGTATGCATTTTGTCGTTTAGGAACTGCGGATGGCCCGTGGCAGTATGACGAAGTGAGCTTTTATTCTTTTACAATAGAGTTTTCAAACGATTATATTAATTATATTTTATACAAATATTATATTAATATATATTATTTATCGTGTTTGCAGAAAACAAAAACTCTCTTACACAGAGTACACAAGAAGTGTATGGCACTTCATCCTCAAACTCAACAATTATCTTTGATGCCATGTGACATCAACAATTCCTATCAGCAGTGGATCTTCCGTCAAGTACATCCACAATGGTAACGTGGAAAAGAAATTCAAACATCTTGAAACTTGTAAATTATTTGATTGTTGAACTTTGTAAATTATTACTTTTCAATTTATAAATTATTTGATAAATTGTGCACAAATTTGCAAAAAGTGTAAAATTTCTTTTTAATAATGTGCAAGTTGATTTTGTATATGAGTGCACATATGTACACAGGATATAATATGAAATGTATCCACTTCAGAGATGGATTTAAAAAAGTCAAAAAGTTTATATAATTTTATGTCTGATTTTGTTCCTGAGCTATGTTTCACTAATTCATTTAACATATTGAGTTAATATATTTAATACTGTTTGACTGTTTGCAATAAATATTGACTTTGTTGGTTATAGTCTAAATAACTTTTGATAATGTTTTATATAAATCATTTAAATATAATGTATTATTTTTAAGTTTCATTTGAGCTACAGTCTGTATTTAGTTCACATATACTGAAGTAATAAACATTTGGATTGTGACCTGAAAACTTGTTTGGAGGTACAAGATCTTTCTCTTTGAACAATATTTTTCAAAAATAAACCAATTTATGCTGGTAACTAAAAAATATAATAAAAAAGGTTAATAGTTGTTAGAGAGTTATAAATCTTTTCCATCTTCTTTAGACTTTGAATCTATCTTTGCAGTGGGTCTCATATGTTATAAAATATCCTGTTCACACGTTTTTTAATGGATATATATACAAATATCCATCAAAAAATATTACATTATGGATAAATGTCTATATCATGCTGACGTATACATTGAACAATAATGTCCAAGAGTAAAACAGGTTTGTTTAAGATGTACAGTTGCCACTTTAGAATACTTAAATTATATTATATATAATCCGCGGCAGAATTCTTTATTTATATCTTTTTCTATTTTATATAATATGTAACAGAAAAGATAAAAAATTCATACATGTGTATAAGTGTATACATATGCTTGCAAAAAATGTAATAATTAAAAATAATATTTCATTATGATTAAAATCTTGCCTTGAATTTTGTCGCAAATTATAAGTTATTTAAAATAGACTTAAAAAGAGAACACACATTTATATTAGAAAATACGAAATTAATTTCTTAATTTAATTTTTGAGAAGCATTTTCTTTCCCTCTTCAACTTTTCTTTTTTTACTGATTTTAACCATTTATTAAAATTATGTATGTATGTGTGTATATATACCAGGTATGTCGGTAATTACTTTCCGGTTTTTGTAACAGATGTCACTAGCCATAAGTATACAATGTTATGATTTAATACATATGTCATTTTATTCTACTGACATTAACCTCAAAACTACACAAGTTACGTTCCGCCAAAATAACAGCGTTATAGATTAATAATTTTTTGAAAATGTCGAGTTTTATGCCTGAAAACGTGCATTTGCGGCACGCATTACTTTTCTTGTTTAATCAAAAGAAAAAAGCCGCTGAAAGTCATCGTTTGCTGGTAGAGACTTACGGTGAGCATGCTCCAACCATAAGAACATGTGAAACGTGGTTTCGACAATTCAAATGTGGTGATTTCAACGTTCAAGACAAAAAACGTCCTGGTAGGCCGAAAACGTTTGAAGATGCGGAATTGCAGGAGTTATTGGATGAAGACCCAACACAAACTCAAAAACAATTAGCAGAAAAGTTGAATGTGAGCCGAGTAGCAATTTGTGAACGATTACAAGCGATGGGAAAGATCCAAAAGATGGGAAGATGGGTGCCACATGAATTGAATGACAGGCAATTGGAAAATCGAAAAATCGTCAGTGAAATGCTGCTTCAAAGGTATGAAAGGAAGTCATTTCTGCATCGAATAGTAACGGGTGATGAAAAATGGATTTATTTCGAAAATCCCAAGCAAAAAAAATCATGGTTATCACCTGGCGAAGGCGGCCCATCGACTGCAAGGCCAAATCGCTTTGGTCGCAAGACCATGCTCTGTGTCTGGTGGGACCAGGTTGGTGTCGTATATTATGAACTGTTGAAACCTGGAGAAACAGTTAATACTGATCGCTACCAACAACAAATGATCAATTTGAACTGTGCATTGATCGAAAAACGTCCACAATACGCTCAAAGATATGATAAGGTGATTTTGCAGCATAACAACGCGCCGTCTCATACAGCAAAAGCAGTCAAAGAAGTGTTGAAATCACTTGGATGGGAAGTTTTATCGCACCCGCCGTACTCTCCAGACCTGGCTCCATCCGACTACCACCTTTTCGCATCGATGGGGCACGTGCTTGCAGAGCAGTACTTCGCCGATTTCGAAGAAGTTAAAAAATGGCTCGATGAATGGTTTAGTTCAAAGGAGAAACAGTTCTTTTGGAATGGCATCCATAAATTGCCTGAGAGATGGGCAAAATGTATAGAATCAAATGGCCAATACTTTGAATAAATAAATTTTAACTATCCATTGTAAATAACGTGTTTTCTTTAGCGAAAAAACCGGAAAGGAATTACCGACACACCTGGTATATATAATTTAATTGCGATTATATATATATATATTAATTAAAATTAAAAAAAAATATATATATATAAATAAAATATATATATATAAAATATATAAAAAAAATATATATATACACATATATGATTATTATAATGAAATATTATCTATCTTATTTTAAAAAGTGATATGTGCACCCTTTGCTACTGCCATTTCTTTCTATGATATTTCTATGATTATGATGTTGATCGCATTTTAAATTTTAATTTTATTAAATTTGTTAAAACACAAAATATACATTTTTTCATTAATCCAACGATTGCTTAAATTTGAGAAAAAGAAATTTGAAGAAAACAAAATATATTATGATATTTTCACATTTTACTGCCGAGAAGGTTTTTGGAATTACAATGTAATATATATTCACATTGTGTAAAAAATATATATCTATATATATATATTTTTTCGAGTGAATTGAGTGATTGTAATTTTATGTAGAGCGAATTTTTATGAGATTTTGTGAGATAATTGCAAACATTTATAAATTTGTAAATAAGATACATATACATTCCAGATAAATGAAGTACTAATTGATTAAATTTTCCATTACGATTGATAAAAATTTAAGACGTATAAAATTTTAATATTTTTGATTGACAGTCAAATATAAGATTAACCTTACAAATTATGAAATAATTATTAAACATTGTTAACATGAACATAAATATTATATCTTTTCTTCTATGATAAACATTTTACTTATACAAATTTTTTTTTATAAAAAGTTAAGTAAATATTCTGTATAATTGAAATTGCTGCTATACATAAAATTTTATATTTTAATGTATGCTTTAGTTGATCATAAATAATCTTTTATATTTTTGCAATTATACTGGGACTTCCACTATTTTGGAATATATTTTTCGACTTCGCGTATTTTTAAGAAAATGCTGCTCGTATTTATTTGATGGAAAAAGCTACGATTTTTCATCATATGAGAAACTAAATACGATCTGTTAGAAGTTCAGACTAACATGTCCCAGTGTATAAAATTTTAAGGTCCTAGTATATTTATCTTCTATAAATGTGCTTAATATTCAACGACTCTTATTACAATCAAATATAGTTACTAAACAATTAATAGATATAATCGTGCTAATTAAAAAAAATAAACAATACTCACAAATAGAAGTAAATATCTATTTTATTATACATATATAGGAAATGTACTTAACATGTAGTTATATATTTGGCCAGAATTATTGTATGAAAAGTTATATATTTCGATTAAATTTTTAAAATGATTATATTTATATCACGCATTTTTTTAAATAACGAATATAAGAGTGAATTTTGCAGGCTTTCAGGCGTTAAATTCGTTACTTTTTTTCTAATATCTGGAATTAAATAAGTTTAAAACGGATTTTTCCTTTCAAATTCTCATGAATATACGGTTATAATATATGGTTTAATGTATACAATCTATTTTATACCGAAATAAATGCAAATTAATGAACAGATTCACACTTTTTATTGATCTCACGAATATCATCATATAGTTTAATGTACAGTCTATTTCTATACCGAAATAAATGCAAATTAATAAACAGATTCACACTTTTTATTTTTTCCATTCTGTGTTCAAAAAATATTATATTATGCTAAACATTGGTGAAGCATGATTGTTAATTACTAATATATAAGCTTTTCTAACGAATTAAACAAACACGTTGAACATGTTGCATTAATCTGCAACAAAGAACTACGCAGTAAATATGACCGAGACGGAATGAAAATTCATGCATAAATTCATGCGGAGTACTACGTATTTTTAAGTAATCGCACTTACTCCGTTATGCAAATATAAAATCAATTTTACATTGTGCCGCGAAATTTATTGATTCGTATTGACAATGTCGTCAATCTTCAATATACTGCATACGGTTTCAGAAGCGAGTGTTATTGAACTGATAGAAACTAGCAATGGTTGAATCACGTTCTCCTCCAATATGTTAGTAATAGCGCCTTTTCGGACGTTAATGCCCGCTGTTACTTCACCTTGTGCATGTCGATTACGAAGTTCGGTTACCGTGGCTATAGGATTCAACCCTGCATTTTCAGCTAATGTTGACGGAATTACCTGGAATTTTCAGGTTTCAAAATTAAAAATCGTGTTATCTCGAACCATTATATACTTTCTACGTTTAGTCTGAGTTGAAGTACAACGTATCTGATACTAACTTCAAGAGCATTTGCGAATGCCTTGACACAGTATGCATCAACACCACCTAAAGTAACTGCATACTCTCCCAGTTTTAATGCCAATTCAATTTCTGGTGCCCCACCACCAGCGATCAGTGCTCTCTGCTTCACCAAACATCGAATGACGCACAATGCATCATGCAGTGATCTCTCAGCTTCCTCCAAAACTAATTTGTTGCTACCACGTACGAGAACAGTCACAGTTTTCCCATGATTTTGAATTCCTGTGACCTATGTAGGTCAAAGATACAAGTAAATAATTTATATATATTGAATTTATATAATGTATTATGAAATAAATGAAAGAAGTATGATATTGTGATAACGATACTTTTTCCATGTAATGCGCACCTTAACAAATTTCGAATTGCCTGTTTGAACCTCTTCGCAAAGTTCAGCGTTAACAAGATTTTCAGGCACAAAATGATCCAGCGATGCGATTGGCCTGCAACCTAACGTCTTGCACACAAAAGGAATGTCTTCGCGTTCGATATCTTTGATAACCATGACTTTGATTTTGTCTAAGAAATGTATCGCAAGATCACTAACAGCATCGCGCAAAATGGACTTCTGCACAAGAAGGACATTGCAACCAGTTTTCTTAATTTGCTTCACAATGTTCAGTATGTAAGTGCGTTCTTCCTTCAAGACACGATCCATTGCCGAGTAGTCAGACACAATTACATTATGATCCATCTAAAAATTCAAAGAATTATAGCTACACATAGATATATCTGTATATCACTGTCTCACGATACTCACATCAGTCTTGGGTGGCGAAATGCAAAACTGTATTAATCCGATTTTAGCTTTCTCAATACGTTTTGGACCATTGATATTGCAGGATTTTTGAGTAAATATTAACCCTTCTACTAATTCAGTATCCTCAACAGTACCTCCTATTTTTTTTATTACTTTAATATCCTACAAGAATAATGAAAGATGAAATTAATCTATATTAGACATAGTAGAAAATATATATGTAAAAGAAAAACTTATTCTCACATGTAAATCAACCGAACTTTCTTTTCCTTCTTCAGTAACTTTCAAAACTGCATCCACAGCAAGTGGTGCAAGAAGACTGGATTGTTGATGTACAACCTGAGGTATTATAATAAATATTGGAAAACTACATATACTTAACAGTTAAAGAATCCTAAATTATATAAAAAAAGTATATTGCAAATATTAATATTATAAATAAATAAATGTATATTTTTTTTATATACATACATTTTATATATACATACATATAGTAGTTACTACATACTTTAGAATTGAGTGATGTTGCTGCAACTTTCACAAGAGATTCCTTATCTGTTAAATCCACAGGTATAGACATAAGTTTCAGAATTGAAACTGCTTTAACATCTGCTTTTCTAAATGCATCACTGATCAAAGATGGATGAATTCCTTTTTGTAATAAACGTTCTACTTGTTCCAAAAGGGCACCAGCTATCACAACAACACTTGTGGTACCATCACCAGCCTCTATATCTTGTGCCTTGGATAATTCAACAAGCTGAAAAATATGAGAGATAACACATGTTATAATATAAAATTAAAAAAGTATAAAGTAAAAAAAATATTTATCTATTACCATTTTTGCAGCAGGATGTATCACGTTCATTTCTTTTAGAATGGTTGCACCATCATTTGTGATAGTAACTTCTCCATTACTAGCTTGAATCTATTGTTGACACATCAGTTGATTATCAATTGTTAGTATATTTGTAATATATTATGATTATTAATTATTATTTATTATAGTATAATTATATTGTAATATCCATTATAGTATAATCTTGTTAAATAAGCTTAACAAGCAAGATAAATAACAAATATAAAATTTACCATTTTATCCATTCCTCTAGGTCCAAGACTAGTACGTATCGCATCGCTAACAGCTACAAAGAAAAGAGTTCTATATATAATAAATATGAGGGATAAATAATTTATTTTTCAATGCATATGTATATATATATATGTGACTCTTTACTTTTAAATTTATATTATATATTTATATGAGATAACAATATAATTATAATTATAAATATTTACAATAACCATATAATATATTATAACAAAACCAAAAAACTGCTTAACCCTATAATATCCATTTTATATTCAACAATTTCATTAGTCATTTTTATATTATATTCCTGAATGTAATAATACTTGTCAGAATAAATTAATAATAGAATTTCCTACATCACTATTGCATCGATATATAAAAGTATAAGCATGTATATTATAAGTAATATCATAAATATAAAGAAACCAGAGACTCTCACAGGCTATGTCTAATAACAGGCTAACTAAATAATAATTGACATATATTACTTAAACTCTACAGATTTAGAGTTTGTACCCTTGTAACCTTCAATAATTAAAACATAACATAATCATAACGTAATTTCGTAAAATAATCACGTAAAAAAACGTACTCATCGTTCATTTAATGTACTTAATTTTTGTTTTTGATAGTGCTCAGTTTCATACAAAGTTGATGCGCACGTGGAAAACGTAGCCAGTGCCATGAACATTACCATATAAGGTAACTACCAGGTAACCTAAATCGCGATAGATATTCTCCACATTTCATCTCGGTGAGAAGCTATGTCCTACAAACATGCATTACCTTTAGCAGCATTAATGTTGCTACTGCGGATGTCGGTAGGTTTGCTTTTGTCCTTGTAGGCTTGTCCATGAGCACTACGGGCGTCACCGTTCTCCATGGGCTTTCTCAATTTAGTCATGTTTCGACGATTGCGGTACACGATTTAACACGAAAGAAACGATTCCCCTGCCTACTCGATCAGTGATGAAATATTACGCGATCAATTGACTATGACTGACCGGAACTCAAAAAGTAGTATCTGACTGCCTTCAATCTTGTTACGTACCGTAATTGATGTAGAAAGAGGTTTGTTCTTTTTCGAAGACCCTCCTAAACTAGACGCATACGTATAAGTTAGGGTGAGACAAAAAGTCCGTTCTTTTTGCTGAATAGTTTCCACTTTTCGCCGTTAGAGCGAAACAAGTATATAAGCTTGCGTCGAGAAAAAGAATGAAGTTTCAATGCAGCATTATTTCGGCTAAAAAAAAAGAGATAAACCGGTATTTATAGTTGGATCTTATATTTAAGATCATCTTAAATTCACCTTCAGATATTCCGTAGCTAATAAAATGATTTGTACATTTTAAGATGAACTTAAGCAATCTTAAAGATCCGACTATAAATATATTTTGGGTCTTACAGCATAGAGCGCATTCACACCTTTGGCAGAAAAGCAGAAAGCAGAACAGCAGAAGCCAAGAGAGTGACAGAGAGAAAAACTCTCGCGAGAGAGACGAAGAGAAGGACAGACTATTAGCACCATTTATAATTTGGCTGTTGTCTTTCTGCTTTCTGATTTTCTGCCCAGATGTGAATGCGCCCTTAGGGTCAGAGCACAGACTTCTGCATAACGCATAATACACAGCGCATAAGAGAATAAACCAATTAGTTTTCTTCATTTCCCTCCTCAAGATAGAAATGAAGAACTCTGATTGGTTGATTCTCTTATGCGTTATGTATTATGCGTTATGCAGAAGTCTGTGTTCTGGCCCTAAGAAATGGACCAACCACAGTTGATTATTTTTGTTATAATCGACTGTGATGCTTAAGGCTTCCAGACAAACTTGCATAAGCGCGTAACGCATATGCATAAGGAAATTGACTAGTCGTATGTTTAATACAAAAAATATTTTTTTACTACACGGATCATAATTGGTCAATTTCCTTATGCATATGCGTTACGCGCTTATGCAAGTTTGTCTGGATAGGCCTTTAGGGCCAGAGCACAGACTTCTGCATAACGCATAATACACAACGCATAAGAGAATCAACAAATCAGAGTTCTTCATTTCTGTGCTGAGGAGGGAAATGAAGAACTCTGATTGTAAGCGTGACTCTGGCTCGTAAGCGTGGTCTACAATGGCAATAAGCAGTAAGAAGTAAGCGTAAGCGGTAAGAAATAAACCAATTATAGTCGATTATGACAAAAATAATCAACTGTGGTTGGTCCATTTCTTAGGGCCAGAGCACAGACTTCTACATAACACATAATACATAATACATAAAAGAATAAACCAATTAGTTTTCTTCATTTCCCTTCTCAGAACAGAAATGAAGAACTCTGATTGGTTGATTCTCTTATGCGTTGTGTATTATGCGTTATGCAGAAGTCTGTGCTCTGGCCCTTTATTTTCTTATGTGTTATGTATTATGTGTTAAGGCTCGTCTACAATAGCTGTAAAGGCTCGTCTACAATAGCTGTAAGAGTAAGGCTGTAAGGCTGTAACATAAGCTGTCAGCGAATGAAAATATTTCATTTCGTGTCTTGCAACCTTACAGCCTTATTCTTACAGCTAATGTAGACGAGCCTTAAGAGTAAGGCTGTAAGGCTGCAACGTAAGCTGTCAGCGAATGAAAATATTTCATTTCGTGTCTTGCAACCTTACAGCCTTACTCTTACAGCTAATGTAGACGAGCCTTTATGCAGAAGCCTGTGCTCTTGCCCTTAAGCCCGTGTCACACTACGGATTGAAGATCAAGGATTACGAATTGAAGATTGAAATTTGACCGGAATAAAGCAAATCAAAACCGAAGTTTGTTGATTTGTCGAAATCTAATCTTCATTCCACAATCCTTGATCTTCAATCCGTAGTGTGACACAGGTTTTACGGTCATTGTAGACCACGCTTTACACCGCTACATACTTCTGCTTTTAAGAGAGAAAGAAAAATCATTGTGAAAAAAATGAATATGAAAATAAATTGTTAATTTGATGGTATTAGTACATATGATTTTAAAACTTTCGAGCAATTGTTTATACAGAAATTATCATTTGGAAAGGATAGATCCTTAATGTATTATAATATACAGGCACAAGTAATCAGCTGATACTATATATGTAAAAATGGCTAATGTAAAAAAGATCGCGCTTCGGTACCTTCTCGGAATATGCATCCCTTCGTCGAAACAGAACGCTGCCAAAGTGAGAGTACCACGATTGCAATTCGACGATTATATTAACATGGTCAGTACGTATAAATACACACAATTATACGATTTGTTTAAGTAGTTTGTGCTATTGAGGTTATGTGTGATGTTTTGTTTAACAGTACTTCAAAGAACATGATTTCGTTTATGCCAACGATCCGCAAAAATTATGTAAAACCGGTGATGTAATTCTAATAAAGATGTTACCAAATAAATTGACACGCCTGATTACTCATGAGGTACGTATTGTCATGCATGTTTTAAGTTTTATGATTGTTATAATAACTCAGTTGATAACCTGAGTTTTACACACGCGAACTTCTTCATGATTCTTAACAATAATTGTTGCATAGGTTGTCGAAGTGATACATCCTCTAGGTGACATCATGGATCCAATTACTGGAAAGAAAGTTGTTGGGTTTCAGTATAGGTATATAATTTATTGAAAATTCTATGAGAAGTTCAATTGATTCATTATAAAATAACTATATACTGATGCAATATTGAATATATATAAATTTGTTATATATTTTTTTGTGACACTAGAGAGGATTTGGATGAAATTACACAATTATTTGGCAAAAAAGAGACAGCTTATGATTACGGAAAGGCACCAAAACGAGGAGGATTGGAAGATATACGTGACTTTACTCATAAAAAGATGTACTTAAAGTACTATGATGATCTAAAGGACCCACAACCAGATACAGTGTAAAATATTTTGTATAGTATTGAATTTGAAAAATAGCAATAAATCTTTATTATCTCTTTTTTTTCTATATAGAATTTTCTGTAGAATACTATTCTTGTAGAATATACTTTTCTTTTTTTATACTTTTATTTTCCAATTTCATAATACATCCTATATATATCTTTCCATACAAAAATGACTTACAATTATCAACATTACAGATGACAGCTCTACAAACATTAGAGAAAATAAGTTTCATTTTTTAATATTATGATAAAACGTGCTCAATATGTCTCCTTTGCTTAAGAAAATTTAATGTTCATAATGTATTTGTATTGCTATCCACAAATCGCTCTCACAAAAAATAATCAAAAGAGCGATTCTATCTACTAATACAAAATCCGCAAGAGAGAGAGTTTAATATAGAGCAGTAATTCAATATAGAAAGAACCTCTTTTCGAATTTTATATACTTCCGTTGCACAAGTTAGTTATTCCAATCTACTCTTAGTAGATGATAGCAAATGTTCATTGTCTTTATATGTAACATTTTGCTCTGACTATCAGAATGCATAAATAATTTAACACCGTCAATGATACCCCGTTCACAATTATCGAACTTGAAATTTATTAGTGATGTGAGACATTCTTAGTCAGTTCAATAATCTAATGTGTGCACACATCAATGTATTTCCTTCGTCTCTCTCAAGCACATCACTCTGCAAGAAATTCTCTTTCTAGCGCAGCACCCAGTGCGTTCCATTCCCGATCATCCTCATCTCCATCCTCGAAGTCTATCGAGTCCTGAATCGAGTCCGAATTATCGCCTAAATCTAAATCATCAGGTAAATCTTCTCCCCTTCTAAAACGTGCAACAGGATCATCGTCGTCGTCATCGTCATTGTCATCGTTGCCGATATCGTCATCGTCATCGTTACTATTGTCTTCTTTATCCTCGAGGAGACTCTCAATTTTCTGCCTCTTATGTTCCAACAGCCATTCATCTATTTTAATGATGTACAGATTAAATAACGATTTTATAATTGTAAAATTGCAGTCGGACATAATATATTCTCTCTCTCTCTCTCTCTCTTTCTCTCTCTCGCCCCCCTCTCCTTCTCTTTTTTTCGTATATGCTTACCTAGGTTACTGTCCATAGAATCCTCAGAATCATAACTGCGACGGCGTATTCTCGTGTCGATGAGTTCCTCATCGTCTATATGTTCTATATCAAAATCTGGATCTAAAAAGTCTTCCTCTAACATGTCTTGCTCTAACATGTCCTCTTCTACTTCTTTGTCCATAAAGTCGATCTCCTCTTGGGTAAAAGACATTAATGGATTGATCGTATTGGCAAAAGAGTTTACCACGCTATTATTGCTTTCTACTTCCTCGACGCTTTCGGGGCTACTGCAGTGCGGCGGCGGTACTCTCGATCCACGAGCCTACGATAGTTCTATTTATTATTAATGCTCAGATGGTACATGTCGCAAAAACAGCGACGTTACTATAAAACCGTACACGCACAATGAATTATCATTATAGAATTATATGGTATTATTATAGAATTATATTTGTACCTGCGACGTGACAGGGAACAGACGCTCGTCGACATGCTCCCACCGTTCCGCGCACGTCCATAACCATTCTGGATTTACGATCTTTATATTCGTATCTTTCTTAGCCGCGTTTGCTTTCGCTGTACCTTTTCTAATCGCGACCAAATGCGTGGTCTTCTCCGTCAAATCCTGTGAAATTTCACAACATAACGTTACAAGATGAGAGAAGCAGCATGAAGATTGTAAAAGTGCGAAGTTCTTCTTACTTGTGTTACTTCTGCTCCGAACGCTCTCGCGACCTTGTACGCGCGGCTTTGATGTAACTTCTGATGGGTGGGTATCAAGCCACTGAAAGTCAAATACAATCCTTTCAGCACTTGGGAGCGCACTCGCGGGATTATGTCTCGCAAGGACCTCCGACCGTTGCCTTTGTCCAAGGTACAGTAAAATTCCGTATGAATTCTACGAAGGATGTCCTCTAGATATAACAAATAATCATCGTCATCCTCATCTATCACGTTATTTTCGCTTTTCGACGTCTCTTGTTTATTGTTTTTTTCTGTTTCTTCTGGTTGCGCAGTTTCTGCTACTTCCTTATCTATTGTATCATCCTTACTTGCAGCATTGGACTGTGCTTCATTTTCCGCGGTGGATTGTGCTTTATCTTCTGCTGCAGAATGCGCTTCATTTTCCGCTGTAGATTGCGCTTCGTCTGTAGCAGCAGACTTGATATCAGTTTCTTCCTCTGTATCAACTTTGGTATCTTGTTTATCATTGTCCGCTTCTTTCGACTTATCATAGTTTTCATCTGCTTCAGGACTTGTTTCTTTCGTCGAAATATCGCCTAACGATAGCGCTTCGATTGATTCGGATGTTTCATTCTTATCATCCTTGTTTTTCGAGTTTGCACATGTCTCGTTTATGTTCGTATTTTCCGATTCAGCTGTACGCCACGCGTCGCCCTTGTCTAATCCTGGCGGTGCGTTAATATCGCCGGTGTGACGGAAAAAATGATAGGGTTTAACCTGAACTAAATTTCCGCAACCTTGCCACACGTCCTCTCTATCATCTATGATACAAACCAAATCATCGCCGCAAGGAAATAATGCTCTACAATGAATAATACGTAAGATAATATATTTGTTTTCAAAAGATGAGAAAAACTTACTGTAAGATAATAAAATTGAACAGCGATTTATATTTTGATTTGACAAAACTGCTTTCACGTGCAATATCATTCATCGAAATAACATATCTCAGACGATAATTTCTAACTTACTTGAGATTTGCAGTTTTCGATGCTGGATCAAAACATTCGTCTCTTGAAAGTATTCTATGTGAAAATAAGACACCATCCTTATCCAGCAATGATGCAATAGTATGTGCATAGATCCTTGCTCCAAAACTGCAGATATGCAATTCGTACAAATGGCTCATTTCCGAGAGGAAATGCCGAGTGTTTGGTCTTAATCTGGTGTGATACCACGGGGAGTTCGGCCCATACAGTTGAAAATGATGAACATCCTACAAAAATCAGAAACAGATGTGAGATCTGCTTATTTTAAATTAGCTTTTGAGAAATTTCAACATTTACAATATATTTATCATCAAGATGTATGTATCGATAATGTGACATGTTTACATACTTTTAAATTTGGAGGAATATGATCATTTGTAGTATGAACTATTGTTTGATCGAGATCTACAAGCAACACTAATTTCCGATCCTTTAGCAAACGCTGTTCATCCTTTTTCCCAATTTTCTCAGCTAATTCTGGACATACTTTCAATTCTGGTATGCTGTGTACCATAGGCACACTAGCCTGTGATACTTCGGTTATCTTGCCATCCTTACCAGCTTGCTCTACCCTTAGATCTGCCCCACATTCCGCACACAGGTCTATCATGACAGTAGGATGTGTACATCCCTCCAATAAGATTATCACTTGCCTGAATAGATACTAACATATTATTAAAATATCACAAAAGGCAGATGCGAAAGTCTACTATACACCTAATTTGTGAAATAGTATGTAATTATATGAAACTTTAATTTTGCAAATGTAACAAAAATGTTAAAACTAACAGAATTAGCATTAAAAACTAGCTTATACAACAGCTGTGATATCTATTAGTACCAAGGAAGACACTCAAATGTTACTGACTTGTTGATTTATCACGATAATACATATCCAAAAGTAGGATGATGCACAATACATATATATGTGTATGTATAACCTCCGACAAGGTGTGATTATGAAAATGACGCATACCCAGGTTGAACGACGTCACCCTCCTTGACCAGAAGTTTCTTGACACGACCGAACCTCGTAGCTCGCAACTTCTTTTCAGGCTCCGTGGTATCATCGATGTCCGACGACGCATTGCGGTATAACAACAACACTCTACCCGTTGCAACCATCGTGTCCGAGCGTACTCTCCATTTCAATATTTTGCCGGGTGGCCCGTCTAACGGAAATATAATTTCTATTGCAGCCATGACCGCAGTTTAGTAGGCATCTGTGACACTACGAGAACGTTCCTGATATTTTCGACTAAGAAGGTCGCGTTTCTTAACCTCAATCGCCCTTTGGTTTTTTGCGCGGGAGACGAAGTAGCACAACGTATGTAAACACGACTGTGACGTCGTTCATATCAGCATCGATCGGAATATTCAAGGCGCTCGAAGTAGGGAGGAGACTCGCGCGAGAGCCTGACCTCTCTGGCTTTTCTTTGTTCGAAGCTTACGTGCGATCATGTAAAAACTAAAGGAAAGCACGAGTTTCACGAGTCGTATATGATTATCGGAAATTTGGATTTAGACGATTGAATTTTTTTTTAATTCTATGTTAAACTACATATTTAGAAATAAAATATCCTACATTTAAATTGATTTTTTTCATTTCTCTATACATATAAATAGCGATAAATACATATTTTTTATCGTGGTTTTCTTTATATCTCTATAAGTCAGTTTATATTTTTTAGAATATTTCATAATTGTCAATATGTACATATAAGTTATATACGTCTTCATGTATCAATAACACATTAAAAAAAATATATATATACATACACATATATTTTTTACATAAGTTTGATATATACATTTGTTTTTTATTTTATACAAAGACCATGAATATAGTCAGATAAAAGATTGTAACATTTTTACCTTTATCAAGTTCACAACACATTCTTTGTGCAATAGAATTTATTTTTCAGTAATTCTCAAAATATATTTTTCTGTTAGATATAGGATGCATTGTGAAATTCGAGATAAAAATATTAACTTCTTATTTATAAATTATAGAAATTATGATTGTATGTTATATCTATTTACCCCAATTATTTGACATGTATATTTAATAAGTCTTCTATCGAACTACCTTAATATTGACAATACATATAACATAATGGATCTAAATGACAGTATACTAAACTACATATATAAAAATGCATTATATTAATTTAATATAACATTGTTTATATACACTGCTCAAAAAAATTATGGCATTGATAATTTATTGCCGAAAATTGGCCAACTTTGATTGGTGATTATTTCACGAAAAATCATTAGTCTACAATAATTTTTTTTAAAATTATTGAAAATATTGTAGACTAATGATTTTTCGTGAAATAATCACCAGTCAAAGTTAGCCAATTTTCGGCAATAAATTATCTATACTATAATTCTTTTGAGCAGTGTATATCATCAAAAAATTAAAACAAATTAGAATATATTTTTAGTTGTTACATGTATCAAATTATCAGCAAAAATAAATGCTATATGAGGAAGTTTTTATACATTTTTTACAATTTGTTACAACATATAAAATACAATATGTAAAATTGATATCTTGTTAGTATACCAAGTCAATAAGAAAATATTTTATATAATCAACAACGTGAGATATGAATTTGTCCTATTAATTTCTGCTGCTTTGATACATATCATAGATACATATCATAGATAAATATTTGTTCAATATATATCATATCTTATTTTAAGTACAATCCATAGCAATTCCGAACTGTAAAATTAAAAAAAGATATAAGTTAAGATATACGATATAAGAACCATAATCAATATTATCATCAATCATTATATAATAGTTTTGAAACTTACATAATTTTGGAGCAACTTTTTCTTATTCTGATTCTGAGTATATTGGCAAATATAATGTTTGTAATCTATATAACCATCTGGTTTTTCATCATATGGTGAAGGTACAAATATTCCAAGTACTTCAGGTAACATAAATGGTTTCAACCATACGAAAAGTGGTGAGCGGCCAAACTTGTAATATCCATTACAATGATAAAATAATAATCCATCCAAAGAATATTCACTGCTAAATTGCGCTAAAGCCAAACTCAGATCTGTGTCGCAACTAACGTGCGGTAAGGATAAAATGGGATATTTATTTATTTTATGATCGACTTCCCTTAATTCTTCTATTTCTTTCAGATGAGAGTTCACCAAGAATCGTCTACATTCAGCCTGAAATACAAAATAAAACAGTTTATTGAATTTATCAACAAGATAATACAAATTTCTAGAATGTAACAGCGATTATATATTACTTCACAGAGCATAGTTGGATGGCTGGCCCATGCTAACACATCCAAAACATAATATTTTTTCTGATCTTTTATCCAAATACAATCTACAATAGTGTACTGTGACTTGCGAGACTTATAGTTTCCACCTGGAAGTGCTGAGCAGAAAGTAGCAAGACGTCGTCCTTGTCGATTATATACTACTGTTTTGCCCTAATATAAATCAACATTATTTTATACATCATATATAAATTTGTTAAATAGATATATTAGTACATAGTACTAGTATCAAGTCTAAGTATATAAATTTGTTAAATAATCTGTACATATATTTTTGAGCTTGCGCTAAAACAATTTATCAACTTATATTGACTGTATTTAGACCAACATAATAGCCTCAACACTTAATGTAATTAATTTATTAGGATTTTCTAATTGTATTTCATTAATCATTATTGATTTATTAGTTATAAATTATTAAAAAAGCAAAAAAACAATGTGTTAAGCAGTAATCTGTCACTGATATTCTAATAATTTTATGTTAATGCTTACAAATGCAAACAAAAAATATGAGAAACTAACAAAAGAAGAGTTTCTGGGTAAGAAATCAATGAAAAACAAGTGAAGGAAAACAAGAGAATTATGTAAAGTTGGCGAGTGCCGTATGGATATATCTCAATCGGTTATGAAATTCAATTAGACTTTGTTCTTAATTATTATCCGCTTTGTATTTTTTAATTCCTGTGTTTCTTAATTAAACATCTTTTTAATGTTAAAATTTTTTCATAAAACTATGAGCATGAAAGAAAGTATGTATAAACACCGAAAATGTCACAGATTTGTGATACTGAATGCAAGAATATGAAGAAATGCAATAATACAAATTTATACCTTGCTCGCTACTAATACTGTTCGTTTTCCTACTGGACATGGCATCATAATCCAATTTTCAGTAAAATTTTCTGGTACGTCTAACATCCATTCAGATAACATAACTCGTGTATATCTTTTTTGTGTAGTTTCCACAGAGTCTTCACATTCAGAAAGGAAGTTTTCTTCTAATATACCACGTGCAGCATTGATAATATCTTCTCTGGATCTATAATTTCATTACAGTATTTATATATATATATATATATATATATATAGCTTCATTAGATTTTATTAAGTTAATAACGTGATCAAGTTTATTTATAAGTAGTGTTTATGAATGATTATGAATATTATTTGATGTACATAAAGCAACTTCAAGATACTAACAATACTATAAATATTTATCATATTAAACTATATAATTCTATACTAAAAAATAAAAATTTCGACAGATTCTTTATAATTATATGTATAATATTCACTTCTTCTGATGTTCTAATAAGATTCGACGTCTTTTATCCTGAGGTGATTCATAATTGTTCAGAAATGTGTGGGCAGCGACGTTCAGTCGCGTTGCTGCGGCCTGCATGCTGTTGGAGTCGTTGATCCGGTGCTGCGTAGCGGACGGCCTGGCTCCCGTTGATTTCTCGCAGGCGAGCACGCGGTACTCCTGCCGGGGCCCCGCGCGTATCCACTAGTGTCGTTTGCGATCGCTACGCGATACCCTCACCGTTATCGCTGCTCGCAGTTAAGATTCGGCCGCTCGGGTGATATAACCGAGCGCGATAGTAAACCACGCGCCTTAGCATGGCCCAACGCCGATTGTGGCAATCTCTGGTGTCTGATCTGTGCGACTTGTGTAGCGCCCATCTTTACCCGACCTTCTCTCTAGGCTTTCCTAGTGCAGTTTTGACGTGTAGTATAGATTCGAACCACCGTAATATACACTCTGCTGAGTTGAAGACGGTGCCGATATACCCTGTTGGGTTGAGGCTTTATGGTTAGAATCGATTGTTCAGATTTGAGTTTTTTGCTTTGCCACGCTTCAGGAGCGGCGGCGGGCCTTGGTCGTCTCCGTGTGGAACACACCACGGGGGTGAACTCTCTCTTTCCAAGATCCGTCCAGGATCTTGGCGATTTGACAACCAACGCGATCGCTTCTTTGAGAACTCTGAGCTCTCGTTCCAAGTGTCCGCAGGACATCGGCTATTCGCCCAGGAGCAGCGACTCAGTCGCCTCCAACGTGACAGAGCTCAGCACTTTCGTGTGCTTCGTCACAGTTCTTCGAACCGTGGTATTTTGCTGGCCGTCGAGTCCGAAAGGGCAGGCCTTCCAAAACGACGGAGATCGTTTCACATTCGCGCTCGTAGACATATTTATTACAAGTGTTGCTCGGGTTTCTCGGTTCGGATTTACGACCCGAAAAGGCCGCACGAAATCCGAGTCTACTACCATCTCTGACTTCGATCCTTCTGATAAGGATGTTTCGGCATTCCTGCGTCACTGCTCTAAACAATCTGGCGCAGCAACAATAATCATATTCTAATTTAAAATCATCTTAATGGGAGTCTTATGAAATAATTTACGGGTTTTCATTCTATCTTGATAAATATTTGTCCTCTTCTTTCTTCTCTACTGTTACTTCATGTACATTATTTTCCATTATTATATTGTTATATACTTCTTTTATTGTTATTTTTCACACTGTACAAAGCATACAAAACAATGAAAACAATATTGTATATAGAAATGATAATATGATATTATCACCAATAACAGAGTAACTAAAAAAATATATATAATAATATGTTCATAAAATAAGTATATTATTTAATAAGTTTTAAAAATTTGGAGAAAGAATTAGGAAACGCTTATTTAATTTTTACTTATCCAAAATTTTCTTTCATCATTCGTTATCAAGTTTGTTGTAAATATAACAGAATCACTTGTTAATAAAACAAAAGTGAAAATTAAACTATTTATAACAATTTCAATACATTTAAATAGAATATACAGCAGACACTGCTCAATTTGTAATATCTTGGGCAGATTTAGTACTAAATTCTCACTAAAGTGTAATGCCAATGTTGACACAAGATATCAAATTAACACGAATAAATGAACAATTCGTCTGAATTTTTTCTTTTCTTATAGAAAAATGAAAGGAGAAATCAGTACCGAAAATCGAATATCGTTCAAAATCGAATTTTTTCATCAAATTAACGCGGATAAATGAGCAACTTGTATCAATCTCTTTTTCTTTTATAGAGAAATCAAAGACTAAATCAGTATCGAAAACCGGATATTGATTAATACTGTAAATCAGCGTTAGAATATTGTCTAAGTGCAATGACAAGTTGTTTTCATCTTGCAGGTACTTACCCCACTAATTTACTCAACAAATTAAGTCGGATAAAAGAACGATTCGTATCAATTTTTATTCTCTTATAAAGAAATTAGAGAATCAGTCAGTACCGAAAATTGAAGACCGATCAATATTTAATTTATTCATTAAATTAATGCGGATAAATGAACGATTCGTATCAATTTTTATTCTCTTATAAAGAAATTAAAGAATCAGTCAGTACCGAAAATTGAAGACCGATCAATATTTAATTTATTCATTAAATTAACACGGATAAATGAACGATTTGTATGAATTTTTTTTTCTTATAGAGAAATGAAAGAGTATATCAGTATCGAAAATCGAATGTCGATCAATACCGTAAATCAGTGTCAGAAAATTATCCAAGTGCAATGACAATTTGTTCTCATCTTTCAGGTACTTACCCCTCTAATCTTATTCAACAAATTAACTTGGAAAAACGAACGATTCGTATTAATTTTTTTGTCTTAAAAAAATGAGAAAATAAATCAGTACCGAAAACCGAATATCGATTAATACCATAAATCAGTGTCAGAAAATTGTCCAAGTGCAATGACAATTTGTTCTCATTTTTCAGGTACTTACTACTCTAATTTACTCAACAAATTAACTCGGATAAACGAACGATCTGTATCAATTTTTCTTTTCTTATAAAGAAATGACAGAATAAATCAGTACCGAAAAGCGAAGACCGATCAATACCTAATTTTTTCATCAAATTAACGCGGATAAATGAACGATTCGTATTAATTTTCTGTTTTCTTATAGAGAAATGAAAGAGTAAATCAGTACCAAAAATCGAATATCGATTAATACCATAAATCAGTGTCAAAAAATTGTCCAAGTGCAATGACAATTTGTTCTCATTTTTCAGGTACTTACCCCTCTAATCTTATTCAACAAATTAACTCGGATAAACGAACCATTCGTATCAATTTTTTTGTCTTATAGAACAAAGAGAAAATAAATCAGTACGGAAGATGGAAGGCCGTTCGATATATAATTTTTTCATCAAATTAACGCGGATAAATGAGCAACTTGTATCAATCTCTTTTTCTTTTATAGAGAAATCAAAGACTAAATCAGTATCGAAAACCGGATATTGATTAATACTATAAATCAGCGTTAGAAAATTGTCTAAGTGCAATGACAAGTTTTCATCTTGCAGGTACTTACCCCACTAATTTACTCAACAAATTAAGTCGGATAAAAGGACGATTCGTATCAATTTTTATTCTCTTATAAAGAAATTAGAGAATCAGTCAGTACTGAAAATTGAAGACCGATCAATATTTAACTTATTCATCAAATTAACGCGGATAAATGAACGATTTGTATGAATTTTTTCTTCTTATAGAGAAATGAAAGAGTAAATCAGTACCGAAAATCGAATATCGATCAATACCAGAAATCAATGTTAGAAGATTGTCCAAGTGCAATGACAATTCGTTCTCATTCCCGAGTCTTTCCCGAGTCGAAATATTAATTCTACATTGATCCTGCAAATTGCATCCAATTTGAAAAATCAATGTAGAATATCTAGGTGCGCAATAGTGAACAAGCTTTGTCCTACCTGAACGTTACATCTGGCTACTCTCGCAGTCTCGCCCATGATGTCTTCAACAGCGACGTATTCCGCAGTTATTTAATACTCGTTTATTTCGATAATGTATATGTACTTAATCCTTATATTCTTAATTTAAATGAGCAATTTTTGTTGATTTTGATTATATATTTGCTTAACAGCGCAAGAAAGAGAACAAAGATAAAAACGTAAATAGAACTGCCTTTGTTAGAACTGCGCGTGAGATAAATATATAAGGATTAAATAATCATATAAGAATTAGAGGAAATGGGGGATGAAAAACACTTTTTATTCTCATCATTCTTAAAGTTCTTTTTTCCTTTTTTCTTCTCTTTTTTTTTTCTTTTCTTTTTTCTGATGAGAATGATGAGAATTGTAGCTCTTAAAAGAGCTGAAGCTGCAAAAAGACAACGGTTATGTCTAATAATGCTGTTTCACTAATAGAGATTTTAATTCTGATTCGGTACAATAAGAAAGATAAACAAGAATGAGAAACGGACATTCTAGCAGATTCTAAACGAAAACAGCAATTGACTGAGCATTATTAGACGAATAAAAATCAACACTTGTAAAATTTATATCAGATTCTAAGATCATTATTCATAGTTTTTTTAAATTATGTGCAATTTTTCATTGAAAACATAATTAAAAATTTGTATTCATAAACCTTAGCTTGCCTCAGCAACCTTGCTTGAATAGACATTCATATTTTACGAGAAAAGAAAAATAGAACTCATGTTACGTGAAATTAGTTTAACGAATAATCAAATCTCAAGCTATTTTTCAGATGATAAACTATGAATGCTGATCTAATTTCGACTCGGGTATCTCCTTACTTCGAGTAAGGTCCGTTTAAATTAGAAAAATCCTGCGTAATAATAATTACTCGAGGTACCTCGAATACCATACATGATGTATCGCTGTCCTCGGTTACGTCTCTCGGCGCGCTCCGAGTCCTCTCTCCATCTTGACTTCTCGATCCGACGTCCTCCTGGTTACTCCGTCGCAGCACCCCCGGATACTCCATCGTAGCACTGGCGACGACACTGACTTTAGCTCTAACACTCGCGCAAGTAAGATTCGGGGACAAAGAAACGCGTATTAACCGACACTGCTCTGCGTCGCGGCATGCGCGTCGTTCGTCGGCCCGAGGCGCAATGTCCTTTCCGCAATCACGGAGTCATATATAAGCGTACGAAAACAAACAATCGGGAAGGCACGGTTACCCCCTACCTTGCCGATCAATGTTAATGCCTGCGTCGTCCGTTAGCTGAAAATGAAAACAACTCGTGTTTTCAAAGCATGCCTGAGAGAGAGAGAGTCGCTTCAAACTTCACAATAATTATTTACGTCTGTTCCAAGAATCATATTACGCTGAATTCAAACTGTCTCTATTTTGACATGACATACACGAGATCTGCGATCACATCATTGATCTTTCTTTGGACAAGAAAATCCTGAGAGGAACGCTGTTCGAGAATATCACATTTTATGTTTCAGGTGCCTTGCAGATTATCGAATCCGATGTAACAGATCAGGGAAAGTATGAATGCGTCGCTATGAATAACATACGTGGGCACGGAGTACTCCAAGTCAATCACGTTATACGTGAAACGTACGTATATTTAATATTATATAAAACTTACCTTTTTAAACAAAAAGGTAAAAAAAAAGGCGCCAAGTACAAGCGCAACACGTATTGTGTTATTTTTAGAAGTATCAAATTCAAATTATTTTTTTTATTGTATATATGTGTATATAAGTTTTTACAAGTAAAACTTATAACTATAATAAAACTCTGCAACACTTTTCTACTGTACAAAAGAAGTGATATATTAGAACAGT